AGCTAGGCGCACGGAAGACTAACATTTGGAATACATATTGTTTAAATATATGAGATGTGCAGAAAGCTAAGAATTTTAAGCAATATGTACCTTAATAATATAAAGTTAAAAATTATGTAAAAAAAGCTTCATAAAACTATAAGAAACCCTTAATACGAGTAGGTATTTATTTTTGGCCTGTCGTCGGCCGAAACTGAAAAATCGAAAACGGAAAATAAAACCTTATGTAAGTTCAAGAAGTAAAAAAGCTAAATTATTGTTCTTTCTGTATGAAACGCCAGTAGCAATGTCAACAACATTAAAAGATTAATCATGACAAGTTAAGAATGTAATAACAGTTTTTTGATATTTTTGTCTGTGTCATTATGGCTGGCAGGGTCATGCCAGCCTTCTTAAATCCTAGGACTTACTCCAAGTCCAACGTGCCTCTCCTCGGTGCCTTGATTGATTATATTGAAATTAGCTTGGTGTACTTGAGAACGAAGACATTCACTGAGGCCGAGAAACTCCATGCTAAGACCACTAAAGCTACCTTATCAGCGACGTTCTTAGCAGCAGTATGTCTTCTTCTTGGTGTAGCATGCAACGTGAAGTTTGAAGTAGTGACAATGAATGAGGAACCGTTACCCAAGGATTTGCACTTAATGGTGATGAGCAAGAGTGATAAGCTTTACATCGATGATATTGATGCGTCCAGTAAGTGTTTGGGTGTGCATTCAATTGGAGAGTTATAATCCTGATACGTAAGCGGAATAAGACATACCTAGTACGCACTGAACAGAAAGCTTAAGTTAAAGAGGGTTTGACTGTCTCCCAATTGTCTACATTTTCCAGTTTTGTTTTTAAATAGGTCTTACTTCGTTTACAACCCCTTTCATTTAAATTAAAATAATTCAAAACCGTATTTTAAATGATATAGTGAGACAAACAAAAATATATGCAGTCGCTTTGAAAACCTTTTTCGTTTCGAAGTCTGTTAAAAATATATTTATATGTATATTTTTAATTACATTACGTATTACTATGTTATCCCATGATAACGCGGTAACACGCATCGAGATGTGCTAAAATATTGAATGATCAATACTTTTTTATATTACAAAACACGTACTTAAATTTTTAACAAGTTTAAAGATGAGCTTCCGTTATAATACGCCGCTATATACGAGTAGACGCCGCTACTGCAAGGAACAAACGATATATTACGATTAATATATTTGGCTTGCCAGGATATTTTATATTAAGGTAGCCCTTTATGTAACATATCCTGGCAAGCCATATATACCTACTCATTCTAAACCTCGTAATAGACATAATACATATACAGATGTTATCAAATTGTATTTGACAAAACAGAGATTATTGCTTTTGTGTGTGTTGATCTATGACTTTAGAGTCTACATGGAAGACGATTTCAATCAATTTTGGAAATTTTATGAAATAAAGTTTGAGTTTATCCAAATATATAAACTATTGTATTTTATTAAAACAGACTTAGTAATATTTAACCAAAAGTATATTCGTGGAGAACATTAATTTGTAGGTACCCCTTTTTAATACAAATACCACACATATAAGGAAATATTAGATATTCCAAATATTACATGCTTCGTAATATTTGGAATATCTAATATTTCCTTATAAGTAGTTCTACTTATCAACATTGTTAAACCGATTTGTATGAAGTAAATAAAAAGTGGTACAGGTAGGTGAGGAGCTCGAGTAGGTTAGCACATTGCAAAGTTAAGTAATCCTAGAAGTTCAGCCGTACACTGGTAGACTTAAAGCCGACTTTAGCCGACCCCAGCCTAGTTTGGTAAAAAAAGGAAGGAAGGATCTACAGTACAATGACGGTTCAAGATATCTAGTCAATGAGATAAAGCGAGGTATTAAAAAAATCGAAATTAAAGTTTTATTTTATTGTTACAATAAATATGACGCTAGACGATCTCTAGAAGGTAGGTAAATAAAAAAAGCAGATACCTACTATTGATTCTTAGCAGCAAACCTGTTAACTATGTAAACTGTTAAATTTGTTCCTATTTGTTAGACTTTGTCAGGCCAGACAAACGAGAATTCGAAGTAAAAGTATAGTTGTATTCGCCTGATAAATAAAGTAATAACGTAACCTTGGCCTTTGTCCCCACTGTACTTTGTAGTAGTTACATAAATACATGCCTATGTATTTTTATCAATTGTGCCACTATTATCTTTACGTGGATCATAGAGATAAGGCTCACGTTCACGTTCTTATATCGTATGTTTTATTATATTACATAAGACCTAATGCTATTATAACTGTTATATATACGTTGTTTTGTTGTAGGAGTAATGTGGTGTTTGGAAGCTTCCGACTGTCTTGTCATTTTGATTAGTAGCTTGCTAATATGGAACTCTGCGAACGTGGTAACAACCTTGTCCTTATATAAATGTTTTCGTATTATATTAGTATGAGCATAGTTAGTGCCTACCAATATTACACATTATATAGTACCTACCAGTAGTACATATTATATAATGTTACATTAACATGTAACGTTATATACTATGTACGATAACTGTATTAAGAAATTTGGGTTAGATTAAAATAGGCAATACCTACTATATTTGTTGCATAAGTTTTATACGTAATAAGTTATACGTATAAAATCAGTACAGAGATAAAAATTAAATAATACACATCAATTTAATTTCATGGTAACAATAACATCTTACATTTTTTAAATTTTAACAACTGCCTTTCCTGCATTTTCCCCATTCAACATTCCCACGAAAGCATCGTAAATCTTATCAAAGCCCTCAGTAACGTGTTCACGGGGTTTTAGTTCACCTGAATTGATCATTTTGATGATTTCTGAAAATGCTTCCGACCAGCGATCAAGCCAACGCCATACCAGGAAACCTTCTATCTTCAATTGACGGAACACTAGAGAAGGCTGTAATATGCTTGCCTTAGGTAACTTAGTAGGGTCTTCATTGTATGAACTGATACTGCCGCACACTGCGACTCTCCCATAGTCCCGCATTTGATTTATGATTAAACTGCTGATCTCTCCACCAACATTGTCGAAGTAGATATCAACACCATCCGGTGCTGCTGCCTTAAGCGATGCTGAGATGTCGGCCGTCTTATAGTTGATACCCTTGTCGAAGCCGATTTCCTCCAGCCATTTTACCTTTTCATCGGAGCCAGCGAAACCGATAACTTTACAACCTTTGATTTTTGCAATCTGTCCTACGAGCGAGCCGACGGCACCAGCAGCACCGGTTACCACCACTGTCTCACCTGCCTTAGGTGAGCATAGCTCCAGAAACCCGAAGTAAGCTGTCGCACCTGGCATGCCGACTGCACCGATACCCAACGAATTTGATAAGTCCTTCAAAGTTGGTAACTTGTACACTCTTTCAGCAGGATTGTTGCCTGGTTTTGTCGTGTTAATGACGGTATAATCACACCATCCCTTGTGTGAGACAACCCTAGTGCCAACTGGGAAACGGGGATCCTTGGATTCTTCAACTAATCCCACTTGAAAACCGAATTGATCGTATGGAACTGGATAACGACCGTGGTAGGCGCGCAGATACGGGTCCACACTCACCCATTCCGCTTTAACAAGAATCTCTCCATTTTGCAATGGTTTAGTTTCATATTCAACTATTTCAAAGTCATCACGTTTAGGTAAACCTTGGAAGTTTTTAGTAACAACATATTTACGTGCCTTCACCATGTTGTTCGTTTGTGCGCGGACCGGTTGCGACTGACTTTATAAACAAGTCTCACACAGTTAATACTTTTATAATCAAATTGCCGTCTGCATAACAAAAAATTGTGAAATCTAATATATCTACATATTTCTTAATGTACACGAAAACAAGATAAACCAATTTTATCATTCTCTTCACTAAAATTATGTAAAGAAAGATTATGAGGTTAGGTAGGTATATAATCAGAATTTCGAATATTACATAAGCAATAGCCGCATGTTATTAATTTCAATTTATCTTGTTAATTAAAGTAAATAATAATTGTTATTTACTTTAATAAATGACGGACCTGTTTGTCTAGTGGTTACTGACCCTGATTGTTAAGCCGGCGGTCGTGGGTTCGATTCCCACCCAGTACAAATATTGTGTGATGAGCATGATCATTTGTTCTGTGTATGGGTGTAATTTCTTATATTATTTCTTTTTGAAACACAATTTCCGCTTTAGGAATATATCCTGTGTCACGAGGGACTTTTTGTATGTATGCACGTACATGTATGTCTGATACATGAAACGGGCACAAAGAACACCCAGACTCAGAACAACAATTTGTTGATCACACAAAGTAGTAGTGAGCAGCGTGGCGACCGCTTAAACCACTACGCCCTCCGTGCAGTTATAGTATGTATGTATTTAGAAATATATTAGTATTTACAGGCTTTGCCTAGTTTGGGATCAGACTGAGATGTGTGAGTGTGGAGTGTGTGTGTATGGGGTCGCCATTGCCAGTTACAACTCTGTATTTCTCTTGGACAGAAGTTCTTAACATAGTCTGATTCATGTCTATACTGATGGTATGTAAGTTGTACGTACTACGCATCCACTATGTAGATTTAGAATAGCGTAAGAAGATTTATTTCGAAATTTAACAGATCACATTTCCAATTTATGATCCTGTACATATGTATGTATTTCCATATGTATAGATAACTGTCACAACACACGCAACTGTTTCACGTGTTTCAATCCCTACTCTCTGACACCATCATTAGATTATCTTGATGGTATCATAATCTTGTATTGTCACGAGACTTAAAAATACATAAAAATACTTATTATATACAATTTGGCATATTGTAGCTCAATCGGATTCCAAAATTTTGTTGAAAAATAGTTGGCAAGTCCTGAATACAACATGTTACATTGCAACTTATATAGAAGGTTGTAAAAAATAAAACAAAAGTACTAATCACTTTACAATTTATCAGTAACAACAATAAACATATTTTAATCTTTTATATTTTAACAACTGCCTTTCCAACATTTTCTCCATTCAACATTCCCACGAAAGCATCGAAAATCTTATCAAAGCCTTCAGTAACGTGTTCCCGGGGTTTTAGTTCACCTGAATTAATCCATTTGATGATTTCCGGAAACACCTCCTTCCAGCGGTCAAACCAACGCGATACAATGAAACCTTCTATCTTCAATTGATGGAACACTAAAGAAGGCTGCAATATACTTGCCTTAGGTAACTTAGTAGGGTCTTCATTGTATGAACTGATACTGCCGCACACTGCAACTCTCCCGAAATCCCGCATTTGATTTATGATTAAACTGCTGATCTCTCCACCGACATTATCGAAGTAGATATCAACACCATCTGGAGCGGCTGCCTTAAGCGATGCTGAGATGTCGGCCGTCTTATAGTTGATACCCTTGTCGAAGCCGATTTCCTCCAGCCATTTTACCTTTTCATCAGAGCCAGCGAAACCGATAACTTTACAACCTTTGATTTTCGCAATCTGCCCTACGAGCGAGCCGACGGCACCAGCAGCACCGGTCACCACCACTGTCTCACCTGCCTTAGGTGAGCATACCTCCAGAAGCCCGAAGTAAGCTGTCATTCCTGGCATACCGACTGCGCCGATACCCAAAGAATTTGATAGGTTCTTCAAAGCTGGTAACTTGTACACTGTGTCAATAGGATCGATGACTGAGTTTGTCGTGTTAATGACGGTATAATCACACCATCCCTTATGTGAGACAACCCTAGTGCCAACTGGGAAACGGGGATCCTTGGAATCCTCTACTAATCCCACTTGAAACCCGAATTGATCGTACGGAACTGAAAAACGATTGTTGTAGGCGCGCTGATATGGGTCCACACTCACCCATTCCGCTTTAACGAGAATCTCTCCATTTTGCAGTAGTTTAGTTTCATATTCCACTATTTCAAAGTCATCACGTTTAGGTAAACCTTGGAAGTTTTTACTAACAACATATTTACGTGCCTTCACCATGTTGATCGTTGATCGCGACTGACTAACTTATCGCTATGTTCCGTTATCGTTGTGTAGGATTAGGTGGCATGATTGTGTCCTCTATAACACGGCAGTCACGTCATACTGACTGAAACGTCGTTATGTGTAGCGTAAGGAGCACGGCACATTGACTTCAAAAGATGTGGTTTAACTATATGTTTTTATATTTGTGTACATGATTGTAATTATTCTCTTTGTACTTTGTTTCATTTGACAAAATACATCAAGTTATACGGATATCATACACAAAGATCATGACATCAATCTTAATCAAAGTATGTGGATAAGTCTAACGTTTTGTATGACGCATCCACTGCAAAGACTAAGAATGTCGGCAGTGAATTTATTGTGTAATAAAACAATGCAGTTTAAAAGTCTTGCGTGAAGCATACAATGATATACATAAATATTCATAAAGATTTGTTTTAGGAAGTCATAAAATTTAAACAAAATAGGATCATCGTATTTCCGTGTGCATAATAAAAATGGTAAAACCTAAGTAATGCACACGAAAACATGACAAATCAATTTTATACAGAAATAATAACCTATTTAGTGGATAGATTAGATTGGGTACATTGGCAGTGACCCAGCTTGTATCACATACTTCAAATAACACTATTAGTCCCGTGTTGTAGCGTAAGTGTAAGGTAAACGGTCCATTAGAAATGTTTAGAATAAGTGAGCTCAATTTATCGCGAGAAATAATAAAACAATGCGATTAAGTCTTATTTCAAACATAATATAATATCAGATATAAAAAAGAATTTATAAACATCTTCATTTGCAAGCCATAAAATTAAAACAAAATAGTATTAGGTAAAATATTTGCGTGTGCATAACAAAAATGGTAAATTTCTAAGTCATGAAAACACGAAAACATGACAGACAATTTTAAATAGTTACCATTACAGTAGACAGATTACATACATTACATTAAAGTGACTCAACCTGTATCTCATACTTCAAGACATGGAACACAGAAGGTATATGGGTAATAAAATGAATACTAATAGTGAGTTTGGTGCAATACAAGATTAATCTCAATATTTTTATTATTTGATTAACTCACATTATCACATTAGTACTTTGATCTCTTAACTTTACTGACAATATAATACTCCCGATGTATTTGGTTGTTTAATATACATTTAAATATAATTACAAAAATATTGATATTAGTGTTTTAATTATAAATTAATTACATACATTTATTAATATTATTCAATATATTACATATAACTATATAAATTACATAGAATTACATCAATATCGTAATGGAATGCTGCAGAAATCACATGGTTATAAGTATTCAATTTTACCAAAATCTTTGCCCAATATTTTCACCGGCTGAAATCACGAAAGGTAAGATACGAAATAAAATATTCTCCAATGTATATATTTAACCTGTTTTATGTAACTTATCCAACCTTTTATCCAATAATTTAAATGGAATAGGAACCCGAGATACAGCTATAAAGGTAAAATATTAGGTCTTTACCTATGAAGTTGGAAATTTGGATTAAAAAAAATAATGCTATTTTGATGTCTGTTTGTTTATCCCTTTATTGTAGAAACCTTAAATTACTGAGGGTACAGTGCCCTGTACACACACACAGGCACTACATGTTGTCATGATTTTTCTTTGCGACAATTCTGTATGTCCATATTAACTGTTCCTTTTTTTTGATTTAAATATCTGATGAAAACGGTTACAGAGCACCATAACATCCCTGATTTATTTTGTATTGTGTTTGAAGCATGAATGACGCTATTGGCTTTCTACCAATCATTCTTTATACCTACCCAAAAGTATTTATTATTTTTTCTTTGAAAATTCTTGTTTTTTCGCTTGACCATGTACCATGTACTATCAATTTTCTTGTAAGCTACATCGATTCTTCTTTACGGATACGGAGCTGATATTTCCGGAGAAAACCGGACTTTCTATCAACATCCTTGTTATAAAATATTTATAGCTTCATTTATTTAGTTACTCCTGTCTTGTATATTATGTATCTCTATTAGTTTTATTGAATTGTTTCCAACTTTAATTGCTCAGTTAAAAATAAGGCTTTACATCGTTTATGGTAGTTTCTAAACGCTTAGACGCTTAGATACAACGACGAGTTATATAACTATGTACATCACGTATTCATATTTAAGCATTGTGTATAAATAGATTGCTAAGTACCTTTATGATAACGATAACTATCGACAGCCACAAAATTATACTGCAAGATAGGCAAGAAGCGTTATATACTAAGTTAGGTAGGTACCATCTTAGAGTATGTAAATTAAAACTATATAGTTAACAAACCTATACCTAGGACACATCAAACACATATCTACTAAGGATTTTAATTATCGACTTCAAATAAATCTTATTAAGCTATGCATAGTACCTACTTGTGATCCAAATTAAAGATTTAAAACTCTTTATGAGTTGTGCAGTTTGATGTTAAACTCCTGTCCTTTCTAACTTGACTTGACAAAACTTGACAAACTCGTGCACCCCACTCGAAACACGAATCCAAAATACCTTACCCTTTGGCATTGGTGAGGTGACGACCCGCGGCTATTCGTTTTGATAACTCGATAACTTATGAAAACCAGTAGTACAATGCATATTTTCATAATGGTATATAAATGAGATTCACCTTTGATTAGTTATTTAATAATTGTCAAATCTTCCAGCGATCTCCATTAAGTGAGTACCTGTTCCTGCCATGGCTGGGCGCGACTCTCCGCGGTCTACTCGTCCGACAGGCTCCAACCGCTGGAGCCCTGCTATACACTATGGCAGTTATCAATGGCAACGTCAACCCACTTTTCCTCACTGCGTTTTCGTTTTTGTTTTGTTAGTATCTGTTAGGTAGTCACAATATCAATTCCCATCTATAATAAATTAAGCACTAAAAATTTTCTCCCAGTGAATTAAAACGGATAATATGATATTGAGACAGGGATTTGGTAATAGTGCGATTAAAGTTTATATTACCATTATTATAAGTTTATATTAGAGAACATTTTTGTATGTGCCCATGCGTGTAAATATGCTCCAAGCAAATGCTATGTCGGCATTACCCTTAACAATTACCAACATTACCCATAACAAAAACGGTTAGTAAATCATTGGTCTAATAACTACATTTTCTTTTTAATATTAATCCGAACAGTGTTGGAAGCTCGATTGTGGTTAGAAATTGCTCGCCTGGTCCGCTCGAGATGGGAGCAACGGGAGTACAACGCTGCCTCACTTGACTCAGAGTATGAAGTGGAGACTCTGTGGAGCAATGACGACGTCCAAAGCATTGAAATGCGCAACACAGTCTATTGATGGTCATTCCGATAAACAGACTAAATAAATTTAAAAAAAATATTGTTATTGTTTTATTCACCTTTTCCATTAAATAAAACAACAGATCTGTTAGTATAGCAGCTAAAGGACACAATCTGTCTTAAATCAAAATTTAAAGGGCCATGCTGAAGAAGCGAGTAAATGTTATAAAACAAAAATAAGTATGTAAATAAATTACGATAGAAGCTTAGAGCATCTCTCACAAATAGTCTTTTTACGAGACGATTTCCACCCTGTCACCTCACTACATCAATATTTGTTTTTCACATCCTTTACAAAGATGTTTTACCATCAAACGGTTTGACGATTTATTTTTGTGAAATTCTTTTCTGTTTGTTGTTTTCGTTTGTTGTTTCGTTGTTCTTTTCTATTCAGTGACACCGTATTAGAGTGCCTTTATTTATAACTCTATAATCATGAATAATATGATATAGTGCGGTAGAGGACTGAAATAAATAAGCTTTGAAGTCAAGCGAAGACACAAAGGAGAAGGAGTCGATTATGGACCGATTTTCAAAATTATTCTTCTAAGTGAAAGGGAATACTCCCAAGATGGTCCCATTATCACTAAATCAAGATCTGATGAAGAGATCCCATAGAAATCGAGGTAAATCCTCAAATTTTACAGCCCTTACAATGTGTTTTAGCTTGTTTCTCTACCTACACGATGATGATTACTGATGATGGAAGGGTCTTTAACCTTTAGGAGTTAGAGGATAACTCTCAATAATATAATCATACCCAGGGTACTTATAAAGATAACATTAAAATATATTTAAATCTTTCTATTCAGGAAATTTTTAATAGTACATTCATTCATAGAAACTAATGAGTTCGTACGATATCGCTGCGTCTGCGCCGTGCATACGTTCTTTGAACGCTTACGGTGGATAAACGCTAATTAAAATAACGAAAATTAAATACATTGCACAGATCCCAAATAAAGGATAAAGGGTAAAAAAGAAGAGACAATGTAAATCAAACCTCAATATATACAAATTGCTTTAATTCCAATACCTATGCCTACAAAAATTCTTAGATACAAATGGACTACAATAAGATAATGTAAAACATACAGTTACAAATAATACTAAACGTAAATAACAAACATGTCGGTAAAAATATCACATCATTATTAATTGAATCAACTTTATAAATGTCTCATTTGTTGTGTTATTTTCAATATATTGTACTTTTAATCGACAATATCGGTTATATGTAGGTATTATGAGTGAAAATTTAGGTATTTCTTTCTGTCTTTTCTCGTCTATTATTGAAAACAACAAAATAACGTATCAACACAGTCCTATTCTTAATAAGACATCTAAAGGCCGAGTCAAACAGCAGACGTGGTGGGGCAGCGTCGTAGGATGAGTAGGTAATTAGGGGCAAGTTATGCTAGTTAATTATACCGTAGGAGATGTCACATATAACGCTTTCGCGTCGTCCTCTTTCCGCCCCACGTGCGGTCTGCCTTGACCTTTACAATTTGTTAAATTTTCAGACAAATTTTTTGTCTGTTAAAAATATATATATATAAATATAGATATCCACCGGTATTCACAATACACATGCGTACTCAATGATATTATATAGAAGCAAGAGATACACCACAAACCCACAAAACACGTGCTGTGAATTAGTCCTAATTAGGACCACTGCGATCGAGCGCATATACTAATTAATTCTAGAAAATTCATAAAATGCCTTCCTGTGTATTCGCAAATTGCACAACTTATGCCAAAAAGGTAAATAAAGATATAGGAATATTATACCACATCTGTTTTAAAATGCATTAATAGATGTATGTACGGTTACGGAAGAAATATTTTGTACAGCATGAATATAACGTATCTTATATAATTATCATTGTACGTACTATGTTCCACGGTTTTGCAGTTTATGTACTTCTGTTGTTAAATCTAGCTGAGAACTCTTAATTAAGGCAATTGGGACTATTACGTCCTTGCAATACGAAAGTCATAGTATATTATCTATATTATATAGTAGTTATAGTTATATATATAGTATGATTATCGCCATCCTAATTATAACTACGTGTCTAATTTTTAAATGTTTCGTTTTAAACCGTAATATTAGGTACAGAAATTCTGTTATTCTGGATAATTACAATACTTAGCTCGTTTTACTAGATTTTGACTATTAAAGGACTTACAATTATAGTTTTTTGGTATCAACTTTTTCTAATATATATTACCACACAGTGCACTTATGCTTAGGGTTCATAGGCGAACCAGGTTTGCAGCGAAACTCCCTGGCAAAGTCGTGTGAATTAGACAACGTGCCTATCACGCGAAACCGACCCGGAGAATGTACAGCAGTCTTTAGTTTGTTACGCATGGCTTCGGGACGCATCGCACCGCACCATACCTTTTAAAAAAAACAAGTTTTGATTAGGAATCAAATTCAAATTCAAATTTGGAACTGTCTGTCTTCTGACTATCTTATCCATTAAAAGATGAGGATACACCCGTTAATATGAATTATTTCTATTAAATGAAAAACCCTTAAGATTTATGCAGAAATAAAAGGTATGCAGGTATTTTTGCCGTATTAAAATGATAATAGGCAAGTTTGCCGTATTTTCATTTTTTTTGTTCTCTGCATAATGACATGATATTAAAGCAACGAAAGCACTAACCTGTGCAAAATTAAGGAAGAATAACTGAGTGTGTGTGTGGTTAAGTCCAGGTAGCGTTTCTTGTGCAGAGCCGTGCTTTTGGACCCAATGTAGATATGCACGGAACGCTTGCTTCACACCTCCGTTGTCGGCTATGTTCTCACCCTGATTATGTTAAAATAATGCCGTTTTATCAAATCAAATTTCTAAAGATTTAAAAAAAACCTGTAACATTACAGATTATAATCGCAATCGGAGGAACTCCCAAAACATTCTACATTAGTCGGTGTTACGTCATCTGTCTAAAGGACATAATGCTGATATAACGCAATGGGATGCACAAAGGGACACTTGAGACCGATTAGAACTCTACTTATCGACATTGTTACGAAGAATGCGTTAAAAAATCATTTTTTTTGTTTTTAAAAGACAACTCGCATTAGGAATATCTCCTGTGTCGCAGGGGACTTTACAAACATACATGAAACGGACACAAAGAACACCCAGACTCAGAACAACAATTTGTGGATCACACAAAGTGTCGTCCCATGTGGGGTTTGAACCCACAACACGCGGCGCATTGGGAAGCGACGTGGCGACCGTTTAAACCAATACGCCATCCGTGCAGTCGAAATGCATTTCTATTTAATCACTTAAAAAGGTCTCAAACAGAGAATCACTTCTTTTTTCAAGGAAATAAGACAAATATATTCCCTGGTAATTTCCTTACCTGAGTATTGACTCCATCTAGCTTCATATTGACTTCAGGAACCACGTATTGGCCGTATTGATCTATTAAGCACTGCGCTCGACGGTGAAACGATTCGATAGCAGAGTCTGACCACCAGCGGTGAAGGTTGCCATCACAATCAAACAAACGGCCTTTATCGTCGAAACCATGGGTTATTTCATGACCTGATAATTGGTTAATACTTTACATTAAATAGATGATGCCATTTTATTTCGGCAATTAAAATACAAGCTTACTCAAATAACAAAATATTTTGAATAGTAGGTAAACCAAACTATGTACTGAAATTGCCTAAACCCCGTAAGAAACAGTTTCTCAATTATAATTTTCCAAACGATCTCATGAATTAAAGGTAGTTCCATAAAAATTTAGTTAACTATTTTGGGCAGAAAATTTTAGTTTCAAAGGGAAATATTATTTCCCATAAAGAAATATGGCGACTTCCACATACGGTAAAACGAAGATATGCCATCTAACAAAGACACGCCGAAATACCGGGTAACTGCTAATCCTGTATCGCGATATGAATAATTCTCTCGTCGATTGGAATGTATACAACTTCCCAACATCAACCGTTGGACCCCGGACAACACCATGGGGGACTTCGCGACAAGCCGCCGCCTCTGTCGCTGGTCGCTCGGAGCTGGGCCTCCCCAGGGGAGGGGTCCCCTGGGGTCTCACCTGGCTCGAGCTAGACCGCCGAGGCGGTGTGAAGAGCGAAGCCCCACGAACTCGAACCTACCGTAAGGACAGCCCAGGACCTACCCCTATTTAGGGATAGCGGTAGATATCGCTGGCAGGGGGCTACAGCCCCGATCCAGACACGCGTCCCCTGCGGGACGGTGTGGAGACCAGCTCTCACCGTTGGACCGTGGGCCTGATCACCCTGCCAGGTCGGAGGATCCTCCCTTTCTCTTGGAGGGGCATGACACAAAGTGTCATGTTCAAAAATAGGAGCGATCTTCCACATAAAACGAAAAAGACCTAAAGGTTTAGAGACTATGTTTCCGATTCGAGATCGGATTCGGCCATCATTCAATTTAATTTAATTGAGCGAAAAGAGCGATCACGTTTTCCTATATCCAAAAATCTTTTTATCTCACCTATAACAACTCCAATTCCACCATAGTTAAGGGATCTAGGAAAATGGCGATGGTAGAAGGGTGGTTGCAGGATGCCGGCAGGGAACATGATTTGATTCTTATTACGGCTGTAGTAAGCATTCACCACTGCAGGCGCTGTGTTCCAGAGGGTTTTGTTTACCGGCTGTCCGATCCTGAAAAAATGTACTAGGATATGACGTATACATTTATAGATCAAGAAAGAAAGCAAATAGATACCCATCTATGTCGACACATAAAATACATATATTTTAATGTATATATTTTTTAAATTGCTTTTCCTCATAATTGAAACTTTAGTTTATATACAATCCTAATAATAACATAACAGAGCACATAAAACAGTGTTGTACACGGCATTTTCTCTTACAAGACTCAGCCCATTGGAAAAGAATAAAAGATTGACACAGGCAGATATTTGTTATGTATTTTTTAATATTCCAACTTAAGATAAAACAATGTATAGTTGCTGTTACTTGTTTGTGGTTTTCTTAATTTTTAAATATATTTACAAAAGGAGATATGTTACTTACCGCGATTGCTCCATCTTAGTCAAATGCTGAAGTATATTAAGGATATTTTCAAAGTACTTGTCCGGATGTATTCGTACTTCTTTATACCTATCATCCAACTCTTTCTTATTCAGTATGAAGTCAGGATATCCTATTCTCAACATCATAGCATCAACTTTATGTGCTGCAAGTTTTTTGGTCTTATCATCAATCCAGTTTGTCATAGCCAGTAGTTCTCTAAACGCCTGCTGTATTTCTCGTGTCATAGTCAATGTGTCGTTTTTACTCATCTCGTCGAAGTATTTTCTTACGAACATGGAGCCCAAGGCCATACCCATGTTGGAGTTGACCTGGGAGACGCAGTTTTTCCATCGAGGTGGAGCTTGCTCCCGTCCGAATAAAATGTAGTAGAATCTATATATAATAATTTAATAGGGTAAATTAATCTTCGAAAATAGTTTTCTATGTTATATAGCTATGGACACTACACAAGATGGGAGATACAAAATATTATGTCTCTGCTGATATATTTTTGTAAAGAATTAATATAGTTTTGCTGTTATTCAATATCGGCAAATAATTCTTAGGTATGTTGAATACTGGGGTGCGAGGCCCGGAACCTCCTTGTGGTGCACCCTGGGCAACGAAGACGGCAGCGCCTCCAGGGAGAGAGGCGCTGCCTACTACGGATAATTCCGGCCGAGGTGGGAACGGCCCTCCCGAGGGTTGTTCGGAGGCTTTCCGCGTGTCCCTCTGGCGGAGGGCGTAGTGGAGAGCGAGCTAGGGGGCGGATGGATTCTCTGCCGCTGGCTTTGCCAGAGGTGGTGGAAACTGGTTTGATACAGACGATCATCCGGTCAAGTTGTAAGCCTGGCTGGCAACAGTCAGGAATTACGGCTCTTCAAGGGCTACCAGAAAGGCAACCTCTATAACCTGGGGCGGACGGACCCGGTCTGGTGCAGAGCCCGTCTAGCCCAGCCGTAATCCTGAACGGACAGTGGCTCTTTGGATGAGCGAGGACTTAAACCTCTATAAAAAACCATAAGTCCATGCTCTGACAAGGGGCTGTGTTGCTGAAGGAAGTCCAGTGCCGAGGGCGTCACGTATTAGGACGTTAATCGAGTCGGCCTCAAGTGACGACGCCACGTCACTGCTGACTGCTGACTTAGAGGAGCTACGCCGCAGAGTCGGAGGCGATCGGCCTAGCCGATTGTTTGCTTCAGATGTCCCGCGTAATCGGGGCTCCCGAACAAGAGGCCCTTATAACGGTCGTGCGTTCCTTAGTCGAGGCGAGAAGACTCCTCTTGGCCGAGAATAAGGCCCACGAGAGGGAGTAAGGCAGCCTCGAAGCAGATCTCGCCAAAGCGGTAGGGGAACGTCTGGCTGCAGTCGTGCCCGTGCTGGTGCCATAACAGCGTCTCCGGCACCGTTGGCGTTGTCGTATGGAGCCGGATTTAGTCATGCCTTGAGCGGGGCTAGTTTCCAAAATTGTGGGAGACGGGGCAACTGGTCCTCATCCGAAAGGCTTATCGCCCTATAGCGTTGCTTGACGAGGTGTGCAAGCGCTTCGAAAGAGTGATTGCAAGGCGCCTCGTCAAGCATCTCGTCATGGTGGGGCCCGATCTGGCGGACAATCAGTACGGTTTCCGTCAGAGCCGCTCATCCATGGATGACATCATGCGCGTGAGGGCTCTGGCGGAGGAAGCAGTTTCCCGGGGCGAAGTGGTGTTGGCAGTGTCCTTGGACGTAGATGGCCCTAGGTACGTCGCGGTACCAGGGATTTACTTTCTAGGGTACACCTGGTTACCAGCTACTGGTACCCGAGACAGCGTGCGGTTTTAAGTCGGTTCGAGTCCAACATAGCCACCGGTAGGTGGTATCCGAAGGGATTTCCGCACAGAAAGAAAAGGCATGTTGAATACTATTAGGATTTTAGTAATAATAAGGAAATTAAAGTAACGCATATTTTTATGTTCCGTAATAATTAAAAGAGTAACAAAAAACACTCCGTCAGGGTTGCACAAATTACAAAAAATATGATAGACAGGATCTATAAAGATTAATTTCATAATTAACTTTCAAAACAATAACACTGGCTTTAATGCACTATAAATTGTAATAAGTATATTCCGTATCCGTAGATTTCCCATCCGTAGAGGTAGAATATTTTCTTTAAATAAATGGACTCAACAACAAACAATTCAAATTTAAAAGAAACTTATAATAAGCATAAGTTTAGAACATACAAAGAATATTCAGTCGAAAGGAAAACCTCTTAAAGTCGGCCAAAAATGGTACTAGATTACCATTTAGTACTTAGTTAGTTTTTACGAAATTAGAATAGCAAAGTATAACATTTATTATTTACTTACTGTTGTTTGGCCAACTGAAATCTATCATCGAGGTTGTTGACCCTGTGTCTCACGAATCGCCACAACAGGTAATTTGCCAAAATGCGAGAGTCAGTCTCCTTTATCAATTGAACCAAATGCTGTCGACATAATGAACACGATTTCAATGTATGTTGATCTCTGTATGGAGATTTGAAGGCAGTTGACCCACTGAGGTCGATTCTGCTGCCTGAGGCCCAGCCTCAAGTTATTTATTGAATAAATTAATTAAATAGTCAAATTGCGCATTTCTTATATAATTAATATAAGAAATGCGCAATTATTATTAATTATTATTTCAAATATAATTATATTTCACAAACGTCTCTTGAAACAAATTAATTTATTGTAACGATGCAATTAGCACTCGCCTTGAGTGTTGTTCATATTTATTAATTTTTGACGTAAGTGTGACTTTGTGTATAAAAATATTAAAAAAACTTACTCTGACGTAACAAAGTGCGAACAGTACCACAGTTTCATCTGACCGCACCGTTCTATTCATTACAATGCACAGATATCGTCTCCACTCCACCTGAGGCACTAACTCTTCAAGTTTCTTCAAAGACATCCTACGGTACAGCTCCGACACATTTCTTCTATCTTCTGGCGCTGATGTGATCTTTGCTAAACTTCCAAATTGAAAAGAAAATTGAAACAAGCCTTCAAGTTCAAAACAACATACCTACCGCGTCGATCGTACACGTCACGTACGACTGTTAAATTAAATATCTCCACAGCTACTATGATGTTAAAAAATTACAATAAAGAGAGGAGCTAGGTTTCAAGTATCATTTCTATTGTATTGGGATCACCGAGTAGTAAAACAAAGCGAAACGATTCATTTGCTTAGTTTTAACAAAATGCTTTGCTCGAAGTCATCAAACTCCCATATTTGCAAATAAATAATATGTTATTATGTTCATACATAAAACCAATTCACTCATTTAAAACTCTTCGTATGTTCATTGTATACTATATAATAGTTATAAACAGAAAAATAGATACCCGTTGTATCAGTACGAGTATAGGTTTTTTTATTATCATTACTTAAAAGGCCTACTTAATGAACAATTTAAAAAACTGTACTTAATTTCAAAGGCAATAAGTTGTTCGGCACTAGCGTCCACGTGTTTTGGTTCACCACCCAATATTTTGGCTATTGTTTTCAGATATGACTTATAAGCATCCAGGTACATTTTATTGGAATCTTGAAGAAAATAGTCCCTGGTGGGTAATCCTGCAATGAAATCGCTTCGTAAACATCGGCTAAATTTAATATTAACTAGGCATCTGTAGCAACTTAGAGGTTTTGTTTATATTTAGCCAAATAGTAAATATATTATGGCCAAAATACATTATTAATCGATCCTATTATCACCACGAAGAAGTACATTCATTCGATTTTTTTAAAATTATTTAATAGATCATTGTCTACAAATTTCTAAGATAAGAAAAGAATTAAAAACGGCACATTTACCTAAACTCGTTTGGTCAAATTGTATCACAAATTCATCAGAGTTTTTGATGTCAGGTCCAACCCATTCCGATATTAGAATATCATTATTGTATAACCTCAACTTTGCCATTAGCTCAAGCCAATCGAAATTAGTTCCAACCCAAGAAGAATTTAGTATAGGCCAACCACCAAGAAGATCCAACAAGTCCAAAAGAGGTTGATGGCCCCGTTTTTCTAAAATTTCATAGTTCATACAAGACTTGAAGAGAAATCTGGCTTTTAATGCAGCATCACCTTTAGCTAGATCATTTTTCATTTCTTTTCTTTCCGTTTCATGTTTAGGGTGAGTAATGCCACTACTTCTCCGAGTAGTACTTATTGAAACATATGTATGAAGAGTAGTTGTATTTTTCCTATCGTGCATATTTTTCACCCGCCTTTTAAACATCATTAATCTTCTACCAAATCGTATTTCTTCAGTTCTTCTGACTATCTCGTTATTAGTTTCTTTTTTTAAATGCCTTTCTTTTTTTCTCTTATTAGTATTAATTACGTATTTTTGAAATTGACTTTTCATTTTTGATAAAATTAGTTTTCTATCTAAATATCTTCGAATTCGATTTAGCACTTGTGCTTTTTCCGATGCACTGATATTACAACAATGGTCATTTCGATCTACAGCAGAAATATTGTTGTAAAAAGATTGTTCGTTGATCAAAAAGTTATCTTCCAATACTAAATGCGGGCCTGGATAAGTACAATGAACCTTTTCATGAGGCTTAAATTCTAACAGGTCTTTTAGAACTGTGTCTAAATTTTCTCTAAGCATTTCAAAAGTATCATATCTGAAAGAATTAATACAAAAATTATCTTGAAATAGTAACAATTTAACAAAAAGGGAGCAAATTTGCATATCACACACACATGAGTAAGACTTAAGAACTTAACTTAAGAACCAACCAAGATGAATAGAACTATCATCCAATAACAAAAAAATAATAATTTGTATATAAGTTTATTAACAAAAAATACACAAAATGGTTGGAACTTGGCGATTGAGTCATCACTTTGTTAAAAATAATATAACTGTTGTCACAAACGCATCTGTTGTTGCGACATTCGTCATATCCTTTTGTCGGATAAGTAATTTGTAAACAGAAAATCTTCCTCCGAGCTTTTGCCCAAACTAGGTTGGGATCGGCATTGGGTCTACTACGATATGGTTAAACTTCGATTTTTACGTAAAGCGACTGCCATCAAAAAAAAATTTTGAACATGATATTTATATTTCGTTGTAGAACCCATCTATAATTTTAAATGACATCGTATATACAAATTATGTGTTACTAATTTTATCTACATATATATCTATGAAGAGTTACCACTTCCAACTAGTGTAACTCTGCATTTAAGTATAAATTATAACTATTAATCACGGCTGTATTTTTGCCCTAAACAAAGGTCATCGGAAGAATACCGGATTTGACCAAGAAAGCAAGTCAATTTAAGAATCCATTTGCTAAAATGGAATAAGAAAAATAAAGCAATTGATGAGAGCGATTGACAAAAGGGATTTGATGAATTTGTTGTCATCTTTTGTCGAGATGAGTTTCTATCATTTCTAAAATACACAAAAATCTTAAACAATATCATGAATGCTAATATTAATTTGCTGGGTCTACATCATATACCTAAGCCACAATTGTGCCTTAACTTTCATGAAACGGAGATATTGGCCACTTTTTGCAAATATTTATTTTAAAAGTTTGCTAATCACAAATACTAACCCTGCTTTATCAGCAGGAATGGGATTTAAGGAAGCCCAGTTGCCACACGCGTACTGATAGAAGTCATGGCAAGGATCTGCATCGGCATCCATAAACTGTTTCATTATCTTTGCTTGTGTGGTTCGGATTGCATTTTTATCCCCCTCACCTTTCCAGAAAGAGTGAATACCTGTATACAAATAAAAAAAATGTATTTTAACAAGTTAGTTACTGCCTCAAAACAACTTCTGTTTAAATAAAGCCCTTAAACTTGCATACTTTTTAATGAACGAAATGAAAAAATGAAATTAAACTTTTCCACATGTACATTTTCATTTAAGCTGTAATCAGAGGTGGCTAAAACTTTGTCATACAGTTAGAATCTTGTGTAAATTCCCATAAAAAGTGTTCATTATGGAAAACCTTTTGTCGTTAGGTGTTCCAGGACGACAGTGCGAGATGTACAAATGAAGTCATATGATAGTAGATCTAAACACATTCTGCATATTTTTACCTGTAAAGGATTTGGACGGTTTGTATATGTGAACTGAAGAAATCATTTCGCCTTCTTCTAGTTCCGGTTGACCACGGATTTGCTCCACGACATCATCTAAAGGCCCCCGGTCTACGTGCATTTCCGGACGAACAATACTATGGGAAATTATTCAAAGTTAATAGAAGCCATGAAATCACTGATAGTTTATTTTAATCACATCAAAACATCTTCGACCAGTTTTCAAAAATTTATATTCACGATGAGGCTTGAATCCACTAGAATATGATTACTCGATTTTCAATATAGATGATGTGTAATGGCTTAGTACTAACCTTTCAATACTCTCGTCATCTTCATATTGACTATCATCATAGTCCTCTCGAGCTTTACTCTCAGTTTCAACATATTCATCTTCAATTTCACCGTTTACGTCTTTAGGCTGTCCTTGGAATCTCTCTTGTCTATAAGAATATATTGTGAATTAAAAGTCACTAAAAACAGGTGAAATCAATAACTATTTTTGCTATTTAAATATTCTTTTCTGAAAATATTTATAATGTAAGTTTCGCTTTGTTAAATGCTTAATTTTACGGTACAACTACCCATTTTTAAATTTAATTTTATGCACAAGTAACTGCACTTGCGGACTTAATACGTAGGCAATTATTTTTAAATTTACCAAAATAATTACTATCATCATCAAACGAATAAAAAGAGCAAGACTCAATAGGAATTATTTAGCTAATAGAAGTCCTTTATGATGAAGCCAGAAAAGGAGAGAAAAAATGACAAAATGATCTGATAGATTATCAAGTATAATATTTTGCAGATTATAGATCACTGAACAGTCATGCATAGATGAAAGAATTAGGTACTTAGGTAACCGAAAGTAAGCTGTTTGTTGTACCGTAAGTGAAGTAACTGAAACCAGACTTGAGAACAGAATTGAATTTTATCGTCAAGTATTTTTTAACGAAATTTCGCGCTGAGCCCGAAGATATTCTAGCACAAGAGACGTGATAAAAAAGGGGTCCATAATATGGGCCTCTCCGGCATAACCAAAATATTTTCAGGGAGCATTGACATTTCTTCAAAATTACTTTTAATGTAGACCGACAAAAAAAGGAGTTGAAGACTTTTTGAAAATTTCTGTCGGGAAAACGGGCCAATATCCATTCAAAAGTTGGTGAAGTTTTTACTTACTCATTGCCCTGTGAATGAAGGCTAAAACGGCTCATTCGCTTCACCCTGGTCGGCGTAGCATGCTGTTTTCCAGGAGCTCCCCATATAAATATATCACTTGTCACATTTCCTTCATAAAATTCTTTTGTATCATCTGAGTTTCTGCGAGCAAGCACTATTTCCTCAGGCGGTAGAAATGAAGTGCGGAAACCTTGAAATACGTCTCTTTCGTCAGGATCAATATCTTCTAACCTAGTGTAGGTTTTAGGTATATTTGTTATGGTAAATTGATCGGAAGGGTCTCCCAAAGACTCAATAGGACTTTTGAAAACAAAGTAAATAGCTGCTACGAATGTTGCTACTGCGATTGTAAAACAGAATCTACAGAGATTTGCACTTTTAGGACGCGGTTTGATTGTTACAGATTGTGAATCCCGCGTGTCCATGCGCGTCATGGCAGCTTCTGACTGACAGAACGACGTTGATTTTTACGATTCGTAACTAGAACACAGTAAGTACATATACGATCTGCGTGCTCGTAATCTTGGCCCTGTTGTTGTAGCCCCCCTGATAAATAAATTGACCGCAATCAACAATACAGTAGAATGGATAAATGCTATGTTTACTTTATTTCATTATTGAAAAGTATTTTAGTTCAATTTTGTAATTGCCTGACATGATAAATTAAAAAAAATAAGTTGACATTGACAACGACGATCTTGGTAATTTTCTTCAAGGATCTTAACAATATTGTTTGAATATAATTAATTTATGAATGTTTTTGAAAAATTTCATTTTTAGACATTTAAAACATTTGAGGTGTGCGGAACCTTAGCTTTCATTGCAACAAAGGGATCGAGTGTATAAAAATACAATAATAATGTGTATACATATATAAAAGAAGTTGTTTATTTTTTAAACATTTATAATATTATAATAATGATATCGTTCGCAGAACTAACGAAACAAGTACATTTAATCAATGATTTGATTTTATCAGATATGATATGCGGTATGTTAACATTCCTTATTGATGTTATACCATGATAAAATTACTTATAATCATTTAAATATACATACTATATTGGATTTTTGCAAATAAATTGACTTGATCAAATGAAACAAAACTTTATGACGGGATTTCAGAAGATACGACGATGTTTCTACACTAATATTATAAAGCTAAAGAGAATGTTTGTTTGATTCAATGCGCTGATCTCAGGAATCAGTTAGAATTAAAAAGTTATTTTAGTGTTCGAAAGCCCATTTATCTAGGAAGGCTATAATCGATATAATATCACGCTAGCACCAATAGGACTCGAACATCAATGAAAAATGTTACAAAAAGTGCGCAATTTTTTTAAAGAGACAAGTTGAGTATGTCAGCTAGTCTACTCGTAGTTGAGTATGTCATGTTTGGACGTATTCGTATGGTTCCTGTGATATATTTAAAACCCTATTTATAAAAATTAATGTACTAATGTAAATTGTAACTGTCTGATTTAAAAAATATTAATTTCAGATGGTTACGACTTCGCAGAAGAGACAGTTATCCTGAGCAAACATCTTTTGGCTACAAAATACTGGTTCGCAAGGATATCGTTCGCGAACAAGAAGCGGTATTTACTTGCCCTGCTGCAGGATGTGCGCAGCGCATGGGCATTGTCGCTGCTCCTCAAATCTCTATGGAACTGCAGGCTCAAAGACGCAGTAATGTCCGTCAGCGAGTAGGTTTCTTTTATTTACCACGTTCATTAAGTAACCGTATGTATTCATAAGTTCGTCCCATAACGGAACTTATGAATAAATACGGTTCGGTTTAAAGATCTTTATTTCTCAAAAAGACAAATGACACTTACATGAGAAAATTAAATTTAACTATAAAAACTATGAACCCGATATAGGTGGGTAATTAAACAATAGTAGTAGCGACGTATCTCGTGATGCGAGTTCGCTGCGTTCAAATTCAAATGGTCCAAGATAAGGATTACCAGCGATTTACATTTTAAATTTTCAACCTTATTTTGTGGTTCATTAACATAGCCAGCAAAGCTATTTCCAAATTTCAAAAAAGTTGTAAAAGCTTGGTATCGATCAAAATGTTTTGAAGTGCCATAGAAGAGGATGGAGATTATGGTGATTGGAACAAACGAACTAGAAGTTTCCAGAAGCGATTCAAGCAATTGTCCATCTTTTTTGACATTCCATATCCCGACCACCGTACAAAAGCATCACGATCAAGGCCTACAGAGCTTCTCTAGGCTTTGACATAAAGAATGTTGGGGTATGCAACAAAATTTTGGCCTTTCCGTTATCGTACAGCACCAGACTATTGTATAAGTTTCACATATTAGCTGTTAACAATTTGACTTTACACAATTAAAGTTTACTATTTTAGTTTAGTATTATTATTTTAGTTAAGTATTAGTTTTGTATATCCAGTATAGGCAAAGTATATATACTTAGTGAAGACGTCATTGAAGTACACATTTAGTGTTAATTTAAGTGTTTGTTCATTTGACATTGAGCGGCATTGTCAAACCTCAGCATAGCCCAGTACTAAAGAGGTGAGATGTATAGTACATATATATTAGATAAAGATACTTTTGGTACTTTTAACAAAAGTATCCTGATCTAATATACGTAATCTCCATTTTTTATTCTAAAAAGACAATTAATCTAAGACATTCTACTTTTTCTAAATAGACCGGGACATTGCTTGAGCAGCTTCGACCAAGTACCGATGGACCATAACAGGACCGCATTACCAGTGGCCACTTTAGCTCAAGTCATGAAGAATGACCGTACATGGTTTCTCTCATTAGATCCGGTGGGTACATCTTTTCACAATTATTGCTTTTAAACTTTAAAATATAGTGCGGGGTTTGCTAAATAAAAAAGACCTGAATAATATAATATCATTTAAAAGAGAAGTTTTTATTTTATTCTTCGGGAACAGCACTTCTTGTAGAATAAAGAAACCCTAAGTCCTCTGCTGTATCTCTGGCAACGGCAGCGCAAAAAAATACTTTCATTGTTTATTTACCTTTGAAGCCAAGGTGTAGGTACAATACATATATTACTTACGTTCTTCACTATCATCATGTGTCTACCCTTATCCCAATTTTATTTGATGTATGATTCTTCCATTCTACTCTGTCATGCGTCATCTCAATGTTTACTCCCTTCGTGGCTATATCCTCACTCACACAGTCCGTCCACCTTATATTTGGTCTTCCTCTTCTCTTGTTTCTTCGCCACATTTTTCTCATCCCTTCGCATGACATGTCCATACCAAGATAACCTATTACTTCTTAACTTTTCATGCAGTGGCGCTACTTTCAGACTCCCTCGTATATACTCATTCCCAACCTGGTCCATCCGAGTCACACCACACATCCATGTCAAATACGTTCCTTCACTACAATTCACATATGTTATCAATTTATTTTAACATTTACCAGGAGTCCCAAGCTCTGGTCCTATCTGAACTGCTGACTGTGGCTGGTGGACCTGCCATGTGTGAAATACTTCATCGAGCTCAAATCCTTTATGACCGCTACAGGGAACAACTGATGCCTCACATGCAGGAGTGCGCTGCCGTACAGGATGCAGACAAGGTAGTACTTCTGAATGAATTTGGTTGAACAGAGGTCGTAATTTATTAAATTGGCAATCCTAAAGTTTATACAGCTGCTAAAGAAATAAAAATTATTATTAGGCAAAAAAATCTAATCTGTTATGATAAAACTCAACTCATTCATCACATTTTTAAACTGACCTTTCTAAAAACATAACAACAACACGGTTAAATCTTTAGCCTTTAGCCTCAGATTAATTTACTTTCTGATATAAATATACAGGTTGGATAAAAATAATTCTGTAACTCAAGTCATTGTGACCAAAGATTCATAAGTCATTTTATGTTTTTATGTACCTTTTAATATTTCAGTTTTAGTGTTATTCCGAGTTAAGATAATATACAAGATAATAAAAACATAAATTAAAAACGGTTAGAGATTCAAAAGCGCGAATATTATAAGTTTTATAAACATCTTATAAAAATGTATGCCCCATTAGCAAAATGATCAAAGCATGCATGTGCCTAGAATAGTTTTAATTTAAAATTTTCAAAAAGTAGTTACCAGTAAGACAGAGTAGTACCTTAGAAGTAAGCCGTTTGGAAACAGTTATACGAACTAATTCATAATTTTAATCAGATGAAAAATCCGCACACCAAGTCAGCGACTTCGCAACCTGTGCACGTAGAGGCCACTACTAAAGCAGAAAAAGAAGTGAGTACCTACTATTCCACATAGTTCTTATACTTTTATTTTGTTAAAAGTAAACATTAATAAAAAACAAGTAAATCCAAAAGGTTATTCAATTATAAGATGTTTTTGTTTGTTTCTTATGTCATATTGTTGTTTGAGCTGAAACTTCTTCCTTCCAGAGTAAAGTCATATTGAGAAACTTATTTTTAAGCCTTCTAGCTAAGGAAGAAGTTTTAGGTAAAAACGAGTAAAACGTAATTGTTTCTTAAATTTTTCTTGTCCGCAAGTGCACAGTCACAAAGTGGACTTTTCACATTTAATGTAATCAAATGAGGCAATTCACACTTTGCAGCTTGAGGCAAATTTGGCAACGTGGAACGCAACTATCAAAGCAATGAAGGATAGTTTGAAATTAGAAGAGTTTGAGATAAACTTGAGTGATGGTACCAAACGTACAGTCTGGAAGGTGAATCGACCTAAACCCGATATTATGGAGACTGTCGATTTTGTTAGTATATAACGTTATTTTATCTATAATAAAAGTCGTCTTCATGTATAACGTCACGAGGAGTTTTTTTGTGTTAACCGGTTCAATTTGTATCAGCGTATATAAATTTTAGTGTGGTGAGAGCCCTGTTGAAATGGAATCTCGTTTTCTGTTTAAATCTATGTAACAGTTTACACATTATCTGGGCCATACTGAACTTTCCGATGATGACTTTAGACCTCCTGTGTGGGAATACCGATGTTCCCTTTCTGCCCCCTAAAAGGCGCGCACTCCGCAGCGCGTCGGTCGGCCACCCCAGCCTGCTTAAGCTAGTACGACAGCAGGCCTCACCTGTTACCCCCCGGGCCTGTGCTTATGGACGGTGGAACTCGTTCTGGTGTTCGGCGCCTAAGTCGTCTGCGATACCTGGGCCGTTTCTGGGCGTGGCAGAATGGAAGAGTTCTAAACCTCATCCGGTCTGCTCCGCCATCTCATAATCTAAAAATTATAAATTGCTCGCATAAGGAGACGACGGAGTCTCGCTCTCACTCCGTACTATGGGCGCAATCATTTTACCGATCGAGAAGATTTCCACTCCGATGACCGCTACGAGGTCACGCCTAGCGTTGAAAATGCCGAACACGAAAAAAACAACATTTCTGTTTTTTCCGCATGTTACATAGAAAAATTAACACAAAGAATTTCGAATTTCTTAATATTTGTTAATATTTTTATTTCTTAATAGTTCTTAATATTTGAAAAGTTGGAAAAAAACAGGTTTTATTGAAATAGTAAAAAATAATAGATCCATCTAGCACTCCTCGGCCAAAATCTCAATTTTACTGTCCGAAGAATCACCAGCCTAACCAGGTTCGAATTCGAAGGTTTTGTTAATTTGCATTAAATGTTAAGGAAAACGGTAGATCCTGTATCCCTAGTAATATATGATGGATGATAATGAAATTTATACCGTGAGTCATCCTAACAATTTTCATGTAATCATCATATTTTTAGAACTTTGCTGAAAGTAAATAAGTTCTTCTCAAAGAATTGTTCCCACTGCATTAACTAAACTTACAAGTGTACAACCGCATTCTTACGTTTTCTAATCTTGCCATGCATAAAATATAAATTACATAAAAACCATATCATTTACATCGAGATTAGTAAATAAGCTCACTAGTGTATTTATCAGTTAAAAACAAACAATTTTTATTAACAATGTTGACTATACAGATTAGACGAAGTAATAAAGGAATCATTATTTCAAATCAATTAATTTAAGTAAAGGTACTAATAACTTTAATTCAAATCGTTTAGATTATCCGTAAATATTGTGTAAATAAAGTAATTAAACTGATTTGACAGGGCATCATTTTATTGACTGATCAAGAAAGATAATCATAAACGAATGATTTTAATGGGTTAACGGGGATACTAGTACATAATCATTACAAAAAAATTGCAAGATATCTAGAGTACCTTGTTGACAGCAATGATAAGTCATTTGTGACAGTCAGCTGGCATTGGTAGGTATCGACTTCAGTACACCCTGTATGCAAAATACAATTTGAAATAACTTTTGTTGTAATTGTTGATGATATTACCAGCCAAATAAATACAACAATAATTCCTACCATGAGATACTTGAGGCGGTACAAAAGTCCCATACATGCCTGCCATTGTCCTTTGCTCGAAAGTTTATTAAGTCGTTCTGGAAGAAGGCGATTACTAAATTTTGTATGAAAGTTGTTAAGAGTAACAAAATCCTTTCCACCAGTCGCGAGGGTGTAGATCTTTTACTAGATGCCAGTCGTCAGTCACATGTGTTTTTTGCATAATGTTAACAAGCTTTGTCATTTAAGGGGTCGTAATGTGCGCTTATGGAATTGTGGAACCTAGGATCGAGCAAATACGCGGTCAAATGAATGGGCTGAATACAAAATAATCTGCGTTCTTCAATATAGTTTACAGTGGCATCTTTCTTATGAGCAATTTCAAAACAGTTTTTCGGAAAAACAGTATTTCTCATATGTTTCTTGATTTTTTGAAATGATGCCGGTACTTCCGAAATCAATCCTTTATTAGAACAAACTGCAACGGAACTAGCACGTAAATTGATAAAACTATTTATGCAACTGACAACTAGACCACAGGTACCACAGTGGGGCCGGGGCCGCGCTTAGTCTATTTTTTTGGAAAGAGTTTTAGTCTAGATATCCTATCCTATGTTAAAAATACTAAGTACGTATTTAAAGAAAAACATGAAATGTATTTCGTTTCATTCAAGGTCTTCGAGGTTTTTCGTTTTATTGAAAAAAAAACATGAAATATATACTGGCAAATTTTCTTTAAACTTTCGAATGAAACATTGTAAAAAAACAACAGTTTTGGAAAGACATGGGAATTTTTCCGGCTTATTTCGACGCTAGTCGCGTCTCTGCTCCACTCACACCCACACCACTGTATTCTGTCCACGCCATGTCCACGGTCTGGCCATCGCAGTGGATGCACTCAGGCGTTGGCTCCTTGCGGATCAGACACAGATCACCTGCGTCAGCCGGTATGAGAGGGTCACATCTTGCCTCTCAAGCCAATCCTCCTTACCGCCGTAATAACCTTATTAGTTATGTTTGTAACGGAAACTTTAAACGTGATTTTCACTCACTTCAAAATGGATTGAAATGAAACTTCAACAAACACTTATCAAGGACCGATGACAATACAATCATTTAATAAGTTCATTCGTCCAAAGCGTGGAGTGCTCGTTAAGATATTTAGTAATATACTGAAAAGTCGTAAAAGTAAAAACTTTTACCTGACCGTTACGGTCAGGTAAAAGTTTAACGGTCACTCTATTTTGTAACTTATAGCACATTAATTTCTACTTTTTAGTTAGGCTAGTTACAAGTGTAGTTTTTTAAACTATTATTAATAGTAAATAATAGTATATAGCATATATGGGCTTCTCATTATGGATAATCCTAAGTCGAAAACATTTGTTAAAATTAGGTGCTTTAGGAAACCTTAACATGTAATCGTTTTCTAGGTTCAACTTCTACCATCTGCGGTGGGTAAAAGAATATTATCATTTTTACCCCGTGCGCAACTAGGAGATTACGCTAAAGTTAATAAATACTGGGCATATCTCGTCGATGAATACCGCGCTGAACTAGCGGCCAGAGTCAAGATAGATATTGATTTTACGAAAATGAATGTAACTATCTTTTTTCAGTCTTCGATATTTCCTTTGTCGGTTCGAGAATTACGCATTTACCTACCTTATATTAGATTCAGTAACTATATATCACATCATCACATCAACAGCCTTTAACAGTCCACTGCTGGACAAAGGCCTCTCCTTTAGGTTTAGGTTTGTAGGTTAGGTTTTTAGGTTTTGAGCTACTACTTCTACTAATCTAATAATCTTTTTAACTCTAAGTACTACTAACTACTACTAACTGGACATAAGCCTCTCCTTAGAAAGGAGGTTTTGGCCTTCTACACCACGCTGGCCAGACGGGTTGGTATAGGGTTTGTGTCAAGTTTTCCTTCTCTCTGCAGTGCTGCTTCCTTAGTCGGCTCTTACGACACCCACGGGGTGAATAGGGATGGTGACACTCTGTATTCTTAATCCGTCACCACAGGGACAACCTAAACAAACTATATATATTTGCATTAAATGTGGGGTGCACAGTACACGCTAAATACTATTACCTACGTGATCTAAACTTATTTTTACCTTTTTTAAAATATTGGCTTTATAGATTTTAATGTGATAATAAGTGATTGACTACTGGTCCGTTAAAATTGCCTGTTATACTTTTGTAGGACATTCTGCTTAAGCACGACGTGAGTTTAGATGATTTCATGGATCAGAGCGAACCACCTTTTCCCTTGTTGAGTGACCCTGGAGGGGTAAGTGTGATTTTGAACAGACTCAAGCTCGGAGCACCAAGTTGTAAGGCCAGTGAGAAGTCTGGTGGGGCATACTCTTTGAGACACATTAGCGAGAAGCTGCTGACTCCTAAAACAGTAATAGTAAGTTTCATTTCTTTGTTATTCATTCATTAGATACAATGACGTCATTGATTTCCGCTCCACTGACAGACGTTTAATTAAGTTAGTTTAGTTAATAATATTATAGGCAATAAATAATTTCAGGAACCACACGCTGACATTCTATTTAATACATAGTGACACTATATTTTTTTTTAAGTGTTACTATATTCATCTCAATATACAGATTATTATCTCTTTTTATCGCCCCATAAACAAAAATAAGTGAATAGGTATTTTTATATCCAATTACTTGAAGAAAGTAATTATTAATGTATTAATGTATGTATTACAAATAAATTACTTTGCGAATTTCGGAAAGAGCTCTAACGAGTCAGATTCGTATCTATTTAGATAAGGTTTTGCTTCTTTAGTTTGTGAATAGGTTTGGTGTGTTTTTTCCAAGAAACGCCAAATAGTCCAGTCACTTTAGGCAAAAAAGGGGTCAATCTCAGAATTGGCGATAATAACCTTCAGATCTTTCATTTACTTTTGCTAACAAATAAATTCTGCTGAAAGTATAAACATTGATAAACATAAGCGAAATACACATTTATAATTTGTACATGTATTAAAATTCTGTAAATTTGTTTGTTTTCTGAAATCCTGTAACTCTTGTAGGTAACTCGTGTTCTACAAAATAATAAGCAAAAATATACGTTTTGTCTTAATTACTACTATTAGTTAGTAACACACTGTTCGTAACGAAAATAAATGTGCGCATAATAAACCATGCATGTTTATAATAAATAAAAGATACGCATACCTAATTTAGTAGTTGCAGCTTCAATGTGGCATATGCCCTTAACTTTGGTAAGGTTACTTACACTTAAGTCACAAGTTTGCCACGGTGGTGCAGTGGTAACGTGTGCGACTGCTGTGTCGAGGTCTCGGGTTCGATTCCAGGGTCGGACCAAATGTTTGTATGATCTGCAAATATTTGTTTCGGAGTTTGGGTGTTTTCTGTGTAAAATATGTATGTATTTAAAAAAATAAAGTATAAAAATATTCTATAAAAGTCATGCTAGCTTTCATAGTACAAGCTCTACTTAGTTTGAAACAAGATGGCATAGTGTGTCAGATGTCGAAAATGTTATATATATAGATTTAGAGAGTTGATATAGATTTACAAAAGAAGAATAAAATTAATGATATAAAAAGATATATGTTTGTGTATGTCGGCGTAAACACATACATACATTCATATATATTTACAATAGGTAAATATAGAATATACTTATAGGTATTTTGGAGAAATTATTCTCATCATTCTTTTATAATAAAATATTACTACATATTACTAGTAATACTACATATTAATCAAAAAGCGTTAGTTAAAATTTTTGTTTTACTATGGGCACCTATTGTCGAAATACACGTTTTTTATGGTCTGAAGAGACTCAAATTGAAGTGATTGGCGCTCTGTGCGTTACATACATGTATCAGCGAATCTGTAGGAATAATGATATACTCATTGCCTGTTTGGTATAAACATTCTCTAACCTTTTTATCTTTTAACATACGATCATGCATAACTTCTTGTGTCTGTTGTCTGGAAAATATCCTACCGATGTGAAATATCTTTTTAATCTAGGCCCAAAAACCAATACGAAACATGGCAGATCTATATGAACGGGTTGAACAAAGAGGAGCAATCGATGAACACATTTGGGAATGGTGCGAGAATATTGAAGCGGATGTTATTAGAGTACGTAAACGGAAATATGTGAGTTGCATAATACAGTTCCTTATTGTTGAACACATACACATTACTAACGTACTATGTTAACTACTACCTAGGGAGGGTTGATTTTCACTTGTGACTCTTATTACTGTTATCACTGTTATTGAATTTTCAAGTTTTCACTTCTGTCGGCACTTCTGGAGTGCCACTGTTTTTTTTATACGTACTCACTTTTCAGTAAAGTAGAATAATGCATATATTTCAAGGTGACCATCACAATACAATCTTAATATTGTTTATAAAAAAAGTAGTTTTTATTTTTAATAGATCTACCTACTTTTAAAAAAAGTATATTTTTTTAAACTTATTTAATGAACCCGAAAATGCCATCGTAATATCGAAACTTCAATTTTCGCGGTGTTGGAACTTAAGTGAAGAAAATGTCATCTTTCATTGTATTTGTTGGTCCTTGTTCAAAGAAATATATATCAACTTAAAAATATTTTAGTTATTTACTCGAATAAAATTAAAAAATTACACAGAAAAAGCAAGGACAAACATCACAACAAGCGTCAAAGAAACAAGAGGAAGGAATATTAATATTAGGAAACGTACATTTCCCCTGCCCTTTGATGAAGCTAAGCTTAGTGGTGCCACTTGAACCACCGCTATACAAAGATCCGGCCAAGCTTGAGTGAGTAGTTTCTTATTTTTTAATTTTGAATGAACCGTAGGGGTAAGTAAAAACAAGCCAGAAACGAGGTAGCATTGCTGTAACTAGAGAGTGGTGTTAGCGGTGCCCAGGCACTAGGCGCAGATCTTTATGGGCACAGAATAAACAAACCAGAGTAGAACAATGAATGGATGTAGACTAGACTTGCAACGAATATTCGGTTACTATTCGGTATTCGGCCTATTCGGCTGCTTTTATTATATTCGGCCGAATACCGAATATCTACATATTATTCGGCCGAATACCGAATACTTAAATAATATATTTTGTCATTGAGAAAAAAATGAAAAATTAAAATCGATTGATTACGTATATATTCATATTTTCATTTCTGTTATAATCATTTAAGTAGTCATTGGTGCATAACACAGGTACATAATCATCTTCTGAATAGGAAAAATGGAGGATTCTATGTATTTGAATTATTGTGGGAATCAAATTCAAAATAAAAAAAAAAGTAAGGTTCTCATTTCTTTTATAATCATTTATTAAGTAGTCATTGGTACATAAAACAGGTACATAATTTAATTCACGTCTGTACAAGTTTTTGGCGCTAAAATCCAGCCGAATACTTTTGCCTAATATTCGGCTATTCGGTCAGGGGCCTCGCCGAATATTCGGTATTTGGTATACTGCCGAATATACTATTCGTTGCAAGTCTAATGTAGACGCATCTTACTATTTTCGATGCGGCGCAATCACTTAACCTGCACCGGGTGAATAAAACCGTAAGTACGATACTGCGAAGCAGATATATTAGGTTTTTCAAGGCATAGTTCCAAGTCTTTTAAGGCTCTTGTAACGTTATTTAATAAACATACCCATCACCTTATCATGTAGATAATCTTAGTAGTATTCGATATACTTTATTATTAGAGGTACTAGCTGCGATATCAGATAAGGTAATAATAATCATGACTTCATTCATCTCACACACGGCGACGGACGCGCGCCGCCACGCTAATAGGTCTGACCTTTCGTTATTTCACATCAAAAATAAATAAACGCCTTTTAAAAAGGCACTTAGATTACAATTACTACACATAATTTTTATTATTTTATTTTACGTACAAAAATACCTAGTTGCTAGATTGAATAAACGAAAGTGTCTGCTTCAATATGATGCCTCAGCATCACTAAATATTGTGAATGGTTGTCATCGAAATAGTAATGTAAAAAAAAATGTTTGTTACAGCAAGTCTTATTTAATGAAGTCAAAGAGACACCCCGATAATACAGTGTCGCACGTGAAAGCTGAGCGGGTAAAGCGTTACAATTTGTGGACCAGAGATGCCTCGTCATTGTTTAAAGTCCTTAAAATACCGTCATATAACTTTTCGCGAGTTTGAATCTTACCTTTATACGTATTCAATAAAATCTAATAATGGTTACTAAGTTTTATTTATTAATCTTTTTTTGTTATCAACTAGTTTTAGGAAGGTTACTTTCACTGTAAAAAGTCATAAAATATTAGTGACCAAAGAAGAATTAGATTTTAAGAATTTGTAAAAGTGACTCATGAGATGTCACCTCAACAAATTCTTGTGTCCCAGATTCCAGGGAGAAATTCTCGACTTTACCGACTTTGTAGCGAGTTTATAAGAGTATATAGGATTTATAAGAGTTGGCCACACTGGTACTAGTAACTATTCGAAAACCATCACTAGTACTGAGTTGAGAGCCTAGTGTGAGTTAATTTCACAGAGTACAGTAATATGTTTTTTATTTCGCGCTCGACGGCGCACCTTGGGCTGAAAATCTGGATTTCAATTGTGTTACAAAGTGGTGTATTTATTGCCGGATATCGCTTATATTAGTTATTCCTAAGTATATACAAAAACCTCCTTTCTAAGGCTCTCCTTAATCCTCGGCAGCCTTCTCCTGCAGCATGTCCAGCAGTGGACTATTAAAGGCTGTTGATGTGTGATGATGATAATACGAAAATGACACCCGAGTTGATTCTAAACAATGATGAAGGAATTAGATTTTTTTACGAAAGGATGAGGCTAGTATGGAAAATTTAATTATCTCTTAAACGGCAAGGAAAACCGTAATACTCTCACAGATGGTTATGGTACTAGTAATTTATGATTTATTTTTGTCATACTCCATAAAACGGTTATCCCTCTTTTTTTTTAGATCATCAAAATATTTTTATTCATTTTAACATCTGAAACGGTTCCTTTTAGTGTCTAAGTTAAGAACATCTGTAAATAAAGAAAGAAAAAAAGATAGCTATTTATTCTCTTTTATTGAAAAACAATTCATAATGCCATAACTAAGTTACTTTTACCGAAAGCACGACACTTCACTTCCAAACTTTCACTTTTCTGCAGGTTTAAAGTTTGGCATTTTTTTACTGCAGACTTTGGCATTCCATCGTTGAAAGTTATATTCGCAGCTGTAAGTGTAACTGTGCTTATTTCTAATATATGCCGAGTTGAGTCGGGTTGTTTCTAGCTGTGATCGGACATCAATAGTTTATTTGATCGAAGTTTTTTGTATAATATATTTAATATATATGTCAATCTCTAACATTTCAATTGAATTTGTGGCGACTCCCACATACAAAGAAACAGAAACATACTACAGCGCCATCTAACGAAGACACACCGAACTACGGAGTAACTACCAAATGAGAATTGCTAATCCTGTTTCGCGATCTGAAGAATTCCCTCGCCGATTAGCATATATACAACTTCCCAACGTCAACCATGATGATGGCATGATCACCTCGCCGGGTCGGAGGATCCTCCCTTTGTGTTTAAGGGACATGACACCCGTTTTTCCAAAAATTCAATGTGTCACTGATATTTACCACAAAAAGAAATGTTTGAAAAATTGTGACTAACAGACCTTAGCTAGTTTTGAGACATAGTTATGGCCGACCTGGGAAGATTCCCCCCAGGTAGGCCACCTAGAAACTCTTATAACTTTTGAACCAGTGATCGACAAATCCTGATATTTGGCGACTAATTCCAACTAATTAGCGACTAAATTTGTAATAAACCGATCTTTGCTAGGTGCCCCAGTTTTTGAGGTATAAACTTGGCCAACCTGGGGAGGCGGTTATAATAATATAAACGTTTATATATATGTATATAAACCCTTATAACTTTTGAACAAGAGACTGACAAATTCTGGTATTTTGCGTCAAATTTCTTGTGTTATCAAAATTAAAATCCCTGATGGTGACCAAGCCAGTATTTTGTGGTAGAATTAGCAGAACCATAGACACTTATGAAATGAACAGAATAAAAATATTTTGAACTGTCAAAAAGAAAATTTACGCTAATGTCAACAATGGACAAACATATTTTCTAGAAGAAAAAAATCACAACATTTGCTAGTTTGCTGTGTTGGTCGTCTTACAGTTGCGTAAACGTTTATCTGAGTGGGTTTCTTGTAAATAATGGTATCGGTTATAATATTGACTTGAACGAGGCGTATTAAAATCAAGAACAATGAGTAAACATATGTATTCGACTGCGAACCTCACGGATAAAGAACTGAAGGAACAGGGTAATAGACTGTTCAGCCTACGACGCTTCGAAGATGCAATGAACTGTTATACAAAAGCCATTGTAAGTAAGAAATAGAATTTAGTAGTTTACAACACCATATAAATCACAAAGAAGTGTAAAAATATTTACTTTGAATGTCCTTTTTTTTTAACTTAAACACTTTATAGATATCCTGAGGTAGAGTACCTATGCAGATACGAAGTAAGCAGTATTTTTACTAGTATAGTTACTGCCATTCCTTTTTTGTTCAGAGCTAAACATATCTTTAATGCAGTGGGTGTGATAGGACTGAAACAATAATAACACAAAAAATATAAAACCAATTGAAAAGTAAATATACTTGAATTATGCAATATTCACAAGACACATAAATGATATTCTAAATATATGCTCTATTGACTGTGAAACATATATTAGACCAATATTCTCATATGTGTGTATAAAAAAGGCCCTAACCCGTAACTCAACAGAGAAGTAAATGTCATCATTTATGTGTTCTTTGTATGTATTTGAGTTTTTATATAATAAATGGTCACCAGAAAAATATTAAAAAAACATTGCATAATTGGTTTTAGTTTTATGCCATGTATCGTAAAGGCGCACTGCTAAGTAGCTAATAAAGCATTCATATTTTGGGTTGCTTGCGCATTATTAGATTCTTTTTTTTTCTTTTTCTCCTAAAATACTTTCCTTGACTAGTAGGGAAGGGAAAATACTTTATATTTTTAGTTTTTTTATTTAATATTTCTTTAAACATAACAATAATACTCATTTGTTATGATAGATATAAAAACAGTTACAATCTTCAATTAAACAGAGTCTAAGTTGACATATATTTTTTTTTGATCCTTAACACAAAACTTAAATCGTCCTTTTGTCGTAATTCATGGCAAGTGACCTACTTGGTCATTACATATATCCATGTGATGGTAAGGAGTCACAAATCCTTTTACATTTGATTTCACAGTATTAACAGTTTGGTCCAAAGTATTGAAACTGTCGGCTATTGCACTTTTACTCTCTCGTAGATAAATAAGTCATGCGTTGTTGATACAAACATCAAGCATTTGTGAAAATAAAAATATGTACCATCGATGTGCTCTCATTTTATTCATTTCAAATTTTACACCAACCATATAAGCATTAGCCTGTTCCAGCTCTGAACATAATTTGTCATACACAAATTATGTTTGGAACAGGCTAATTTTTATTGTATGAGATACAATACATACATGATGAACTGGCTGCGCGTCAACATAAGAACTAGCCATAGTAACACACTTATTGTCAAACCAAACCACCCAATGAAAATATACCATATTCATTTCTTAAGTAATGCACTAATTCGATGGATATGAAAAAATTATCAAAGTATATCATACTGCATGCTGGCTTCTTGAACAACTTGCATAAAGCTATGACAACTTTCGATCCTAATCCTAATCTGTTTTATTCCTCATTGAATTCATGATATCTAAACATGTCTTCTCCTCCATAAACCAAAAAGTCATACATGATTCCCGATACTCCAGCCTGAACAAATATCTTATACCCCCATTTTCTCGGTTTATTTTTAACATACTGCTTTCGAGTACCAGCTCTTATACCTTTGTAAGGCACAATAATTTCATTGTCACTAAATCAGTTCGCTCTTCAGTTTTCAAACAATTTAGTCGGCTTTTCTCTAATACGGGTCTAATGTTATAGTAACGGTCACACATCCACACGATGAACAAAATACACATAACATCGAATTTGTTCAAATCTTTTCAGTGTCATAATATCTGCTATTTTGCTATACATAAGCCGGTAGACATACAACACCACAGATATAATATAAATTAGTAGTATTAGTATGGAGCTATTTCCTATTGAAGATAATAGCGAAGTAGTCGGTAGAATAGCAATATTTTGTGCAATATATGGTGGAGAAGCAGATACACTAGATGGAGATAAACTTACATTCTTCGCAATATTTGAATGTTGAGCTGTTACTAAACCCTCTATTCGTCTTCACTGCCCGGTAATCAGTGTAGATTTTCTAGTGATGATGGCAATGAAGGTGGATCTAAACTGTTAACTAACTTGTTATTTCAGTATCAGAAGAATCACTTTTCTTAACATCTGAGCTCACCCTAGGTTTTGGGACCAAGGCTAATATTTTTTGTGTTTTATATTATCATATTACATATGTTCATTGGTATCAAGTAACAATATGTTTGCTAGAATGTCTCCATCTACATACAAATAAATAAAATTTAAGTGTCTGTTTGTAATGATAGAATAATAGGTTTTTCCATGCTCACACGGTTATTCGCATGATACCTTTGCCTAAAAACAGTTTAAATATTTTTTGTCTGTCTGTCTGTTTTTTCCGGGTAATCTTAAAAATGGCTGGAACGATTTTTACAATATTTTATTACCAGATAGTAGCTGTCTATATAAGGAGTAACTTGGCTATTTTGGGGTCTACCAATAAAAACGTCCTGGTTAAAAAATTGAATAAAACACACAATTTTTTATGAAAAATGCATCCGACTGATATATTTGATAGATAATTTTATGCAATTTATGTTTTAAATAATATATCGGCCAAATGACCGCCGCGGCTCTTTTTGCAGACGGTCACCCGCTCACGCCAATTTTCGATGACGCGGTGCACCATTTCGGCCGGTATGTCGGCTATGGCTCGTCGAATGTTGGTTTTTTAGGTCACGAATTGTAGCTGGATTATTGCTGTACACTTTAGATTGAACGTAACCCCAAAGAAAATAGTCTAAAGGTGTTAAACCACACGATCATGGTGGCCAACTGATCGGTCAATTTCTCGAAATTAACGACTCACCAAACTTCCACGCAATAATTCCATGTTCACTCGAGTAATGTGAGGTGGTGCTCCGTCTTGTTGAAAATAAAGGTTGTCTGCATCAATATCTTCAAATTCTGGAAAGAAATATTTTTCATATATTTTATTTTATTTTCCAGAATATAACTCGTTATAGCGCTCGCCATTCACAGTAACAGGGTTTCCTTCGTCACTTTCAAAGAAGTACGAACCAATGATTCCACCGTACCATAAACCGTACCAAACTGTTATTTTTTGCGGTTGCAATGGTGATTCATGAACCACACGTGGATTTGACTCACTCCAATAGCAAAATTTTTGTTTATTAACAAATCCATTGAGCCAGAAATGGGCCTCATCTGAGAAGATGATTTTACGATGAAAATCGTCATCGGCTTCCATCATTTCCAGTACATAATCGGCAAATTCACGACGGATACAATGGTTTGATGGCTTCAATTCTTATGCTAAAACAATTTTGTATGGGTGTAGGCCCAAATCCAACCGCAAAATATGCCAGGTGGTCATTGGAGAGCCCCAACTCTTGTGAACGGCGTTGAACTGAACGATTTGAATTCGCATCGGTAAAAATTTCGAAATGCGTCGCCATTATACGGGCCGGATCCCCCCCTCACCATTTTCACCCGCCGGAACTACTTGGTTCCCTTAGAAAAAATGAAAACAGAAATTTGTACAAAAAAATTCTCAAAGGAGGAAAAGGAGGAAAGGAGGTCTATACACATACATACAATACCCATATATGTTAACTAAGCTCATAATAGCAATGAATATTATAATTATGAATGCTATAATCACATTTGTGTAAACTAATGGGATTAGTGTATTAAACCATTTAAATAGTGTCTATTACTAGAAAGCCTTATAGTTATTATTCTACTTACCACACCAGGGCCACAAACTAAATACATTATGGTTTAGAAAATAAAATATGCTTTAATAGAGAATTAAAAAGTAAACTCCATGATTCGCCTGTGATTACTGAACTCAATCTGTTGGGCTCATCAAAATGATTCATGAGGAAGCTAGTAGCTACTGGAAACTTCCACTATAAGCCATTATCAAATCAGCCCAAAAAATATCTAAATATGGACTAAGTTAAGATAGACAATAGTCTTAAGTAAAATGGTTAGGAGTATGGTTATATCATGGATATTGAGTAAAATATACATTTTTGTTATGCCACTATTATTTGCTTAACTTCAATCTCGGATAAATCCAATTCTGAGAACTTTAAGATTTTGGTATCAAAAGAAAAAAACAATTCCCTCACTTGTGTATAAAAGTAGCAAGGTTTTTGAGAAAAAAAACCTTTAAAGTCAAAATAATTTATCAAAATCAGATAGATCCATGAGACTTTTTTTCAATTGTAAACTCTGTGATAATAGCACAGTAGTCTCTCTCTTTTAATTGCTTATTTTCAATAACTAGCGAGTTCCAATGGATAATTGCATTAAGATTGTGCCACCAAACAAAGCCCGCAAACGGCCTGACCGGCCTGGCCGACTTTTATGGCCGTAAGAATGAGGAAAGAGTGAAAATTCGATAAGTTTGAAATACCTATGATGCGTCGTTTTGAAGTCCTGAGTTGGCACTAGTGTTGTTCTAACCATTATCGATGTAACAATTATCTATACTTGGTTTGATCCACTGTTAAAAAATAATTTGGATGTAAAAAGAATCTATAAATTCAATTTTATTCTTTAAATATTACATGAACTGTCCAAACATATTTGTGTAGGTATACAGGAACAAAATTTAAGTTTTAAAATGTAAGTGCCTTGTGGGGTTGGCCGTCATATTTTTTTATATGCATGCTTTATAAACTAAATAAATAAATTAGAATAGAATTGTGTGAGACGTCCGATAATTGTTTAGAAATTTTAATCCAGAAATATGAAGAAGATGATTCAGAAGAAATATTAAATTTTGTTTGAAATATTTAAAGATTTTCATTTTGGGGGAAAAAATACTCCTTTTGTAAAATAACTAAATTTCCTCATTTAGTCCGTATTATTTTTTGATATTTTAAGTTAGCTATCGGAAACTTTACTGATAACTAGTGTTCTGTGATTTTGCCGCTACCACATTCCCAGTAATATTCGTATTTTTTTAAACCTAGCTAGATCCAGATTTGTTAAATGAAAGTCCTATAAATCCACACTGAGTTTTAGATAGATAAATTGCATTCAATTACGTGTATATCAAATGAAGGTAAATCCAATCTAAACATTCATTTTTCGAAGCAATTGATGGCTTTCAAAATGTTTTTGCTGAACAGAATCGTTTTATTCAACACTGTTGTCATAATAATAAAATACTGCATTTTAAATCCTCGAATTAAGATTATTATCACTTTTCCTTAGATATCTCCTCACAAGGTAGAGTGGATTTATCAGAGTCTGAAGTTAAGCGACATGTCTACATTGTCTATTTATCTTTTATTCACTACAAAACAGTACAATATTCGCAATTCATTCAAGTTTTCTTGATTTAAGAAGTATTTATGGGGAGTTTTTTCATAAATTTCCAGCAATAAATCTTTAACACTTTAATTTAAATATTTTGACTCAAAAACTGCTGATAGTTTTCATCCAAAGAATGATTGTAAGAATATTTGCTGAGACTGCCCTTTGTACTTACAATTGGACTTTGTCATATCTCTGCAAGCTGAGTTTAATCATTGCGGAGTTTAATTGTTGCAAAGATTAATCATTGCAATTTATATTGATGTCACAAAAGAATTCTACTTTTTAGCTAGTAGAACAAAAGTATGTATCTTATGTGGCCGTAATATTGCATGAAATATGTGTATTTTTTTTCTAGATAAAAAATCCATCTGTTGCGACATATTTCACAAACCGTGCATTATGCCACCTCAAGATGAAGAGATGGGATGCTACATGCCAAGATTGTCGCCGAGCACTTGACATAGACACTAACCATGTCAAGGGACACTTCTTCTTGGGACAGGCTTTAGTGGAGCTGGAGTGCTATGATGAGGCTATCAAACATTTACATAGAGGTGATTAAACTCTCATTCGTTAAATTTTTATTAGTAACTTTTGCCCGCGTCTTCGCTCGCCGTTATGTGGGTTATCGGCGTATAAGGTAAAAAAAGTCTATGTCCTTCCTCAACAATCAAAGTATCTGAATGCCAAATTTCATTAAAATCGGTTTAGCGGTTAAGCCGTAAAAGCCTTAACGGACAGAGTTACTTTCGCATTTATGATATTAGTAGGGATTGTTAATTCTGTGTTTGATACTTCATAACAATTTAAAATATTCTTTTCGATGCATTCCTTCGAGTTATATAGCGGCGAAAGTAAGGACCAGCAGTCTATCACCACTCATAATTTGTTTGAAATATTTTGAATTGAAATATACAAATCTGTTTTCTAGACTAGTCCCTTTCCTCCCTTTGTGTTGAAGGGACATGACATCCGTTGCTCTTCATATCCATGTAATTAAAAGGAGCAATACCGTAAATGGCTAAGATGTCGGAACTAGATACCAACTGGAGACGGATTTGGACCCTACCCAGCGGGCTACTGTCGTAAACTAACCCTAATACAAGTATTTAATTATAGGGATTAACAAGTATATTAGTAAAAAACTAAATTTGTTTTATTTTTGTGTGGTAGGCTAACTGGCTAATTAATTAATCTGTGCTAGAATTTGTAGTAAAATAATAAAAACGCTTTTTTCTAAATCCAAATCAATCTTACCACTAGCACAGCAATCTAACAAACAACATAAATGCGTTTTAATTACTTGTAGAAGGCGGCCGCAAAATTTCCAGTGTCTGTTATATTCGCAGAACGACCTCCGTCCTCCATAAGCGCAGGCCTGGGGGGGTGTCAGGTGAGGCCACCTGTCACCCTAGCAGAAGCAGGCCGGAGTGGCGGCGCGTTCGCTTCCAGGGAGCAGAGGGAACATGGGGTTCCCACACGGGGGGGGGGGGGTCGTCTACTCGTCTGTAGATGGCCCGAGGTATGTCGGGGCACCAGGGACTTCCTTTCTAGGGTATACCTGGTTCCCCGGCTATTAGTACCCGAGACGGCGTGCGGTTTTAGTCGGTTCGAGTCCGACATGCCACCGATAGGTGGTATCTGAGGGGGTTTCCGCACGGAAAAGAAAGAAGTGTCTGTTATATTGATAAAAACCATCATTAATTATGGTATTCACGTCAGTAAAGAATAAGCGCTATGATTGTCTGGATTCCGTATGACCCCAGGAGTGGGGAAGCAATTTTTATTGCAAAATCCACATACTTGGTCCATATGTTATAGTGATCAAACCATATGTTATAGTTTAAATGTTATTAAAGAAAAAAAAATATTGCCCGGATAAAAAATGACCCAAGTTGAGGCAATCACGAGTTTCTTATCGCAAAATTTGGCAAATATATTATTTGCTGATAATGTAATTTCCATTTGTGAAAGAATTTTTTTACATCGGTTTTTGGTTAACACGTGAAAGCGTAACAAGCAAACAAACTCACTTTCACATTTATATTAAAAGTATGGAAGTATGGTTGAATGTAATAAAGTGTAGAGAGTAGATCTTTACAGATAAATAAATTATATTAATATTATTCAAACAATTTTCAAAATTAGATATGATGCTTCCAATGTTTCCCTCACCAAAATTCAGTAAGTCTGGCTAGGTAATAAAAAGGAATAATTCGCTTACTAACGGCTACTCTTTTCTGTTTTCAGCGAGCGACTTGGCACGAGAACAAAAGTTGAATTTTGGTGATGATATTGCTGCACAAATCCGCCTAGCTAGGAAAAAAAGATGGAATGTACAAGAGGAGAAACGTATTGCACAGGAAATTGAATTACAAACTTATTTGAATAGGTAATTATTTATTATTACCTAACAGAATAAGTATATTTCACTCTAACTCAACAAGCAAACCAACCAGGAACTGTAGGCCAAAAATGAAATGAATTTTTGTGGCCAGTGCAACAACCATATTATAGAAGTCCACTTCTATACATAGGTCTCTCCTTAGAAAGGAGGTTTTGGCCTACTATACCACGTTGGCCAGACGGGTTGGTATTGGGTTTGTTTCAAGTTTTCCTTCTCTTTGCAGTACTGTTGTCCTTCATCAGCCGGCTCTTACGAAACCCAGAGGATGAATAGGGGTGGTAACAACACCATTCAACATTAGAACATTTTTGGATGTTACATTGATTAGACAATTGTTTTGTTCATTTTATGTGTAATGCGTGTTTCAAAAAGAAGGTCAAACTATTTCAAGTAAAAAGGTAAAAAAAGATGAATGAAAAGCTTTCGATGAATGAGTTATCTCTTAATATTCCATAAAGCATGTACGTTCTGTAGTTTTTTTTTAAATAGAGTGGGCGGCCAAAACTTTTCAACGTGGTTCAGGTTATTTTCATCATTCAATTCTTTAAAAAGATAATGAATACAAAATTCCGATTTTAAGTGTAGCAGTTATAATACGCTACGAATTTAATGGCGATGAATTTTTATTTTATTTTATTTAATTATTGTGTCTTGCAGGCTAATAACAGAAGATATGCAGCGTAGAATAGAAGCACTGAAAATAGATGATAATAATGTGAACGAAGAAGAATTGAGTGCCAAGGGAGCTAAAATCGAAGAGGAATGTGTAAGTATACACACAATAATAAAATACAATACAGTCTGTATTCGTCGAGATAACAGTATGTATATTTATTAGTAGTCTATAAATATATATTATAAATAAATTACACCCTGGGCGATGTTCATGCTTATCCAGAATCGAAGCAACAAGTTCTCACTATGTCCAAAAAAATTATGTATTTGGTATGTATGTATGTAAATTTATCTCATTGTTTCTGTTTAACTTCTCATTTATTTTCTCTTACTTTATATATCACACCTGTTACCTACGCACCTAATCACACATGTTAGCACCACCCTAAGGTAGACTGGGACAAAATGCCTGTGGCATTAAGTCCGCCATTGTACAACTCATACTTGTGTATAAAGTATTAAAATAAATAGAATGAGTACTAGGGCCGTCTGGGCCTCTATTCTACTATTTTATGTTAATGTTCAAGCCACTGTCATTCTATTAATACGCTATTGAGATGCCATTGATATCTGTCAAAATATTGGTATGCTACTAACATAAATTCACAGTCAATAGACTGTCGATGTAGTGACAACTGGCAATGGCTTATCAATGGTAATATTAACAACTTTGCTATATCTGGCAAATTCAATATATCATTTCCTTACAAATTTAAAATGAGCCGTTTACCAAACTATTACAAAGACTTCGACGACAATTGTATCAGTGGCAGTTCAGTGACAAGTCATCGCGAGACCATTGGTCTCACATAATTAGTAGAATACGAAAAGTGCAAAAGTATTTAAACAAATATTTTGTGCGTGCAGTATTAATATAATGTATCTTCCTTAAAATATCATTGGTTGCCGGTTGTTTGTTGTTGGTTTTTGATTAAGAATTAAGGGAAGGGGGTCACTCGGTGAAAAACAATGAAAGAATTGCTAACACCGGTTTACTGTGAGGCCGTGATACATTCCTGTCGAGCAGGGCTATTTGTGCCTAGGCATGACTCCCACGATTACCTGCACGGATGGCGTGGTTTAAGCGGTCAACTCGTCGCTTTCTACGCCGAGTGTTGCGGATCCCAGCATATAACAACACTTTGTATGATCCACAAATTGTTGTTCCGAGTCTTTGTGTCCGTTTCATGTATCTTTGTAAAGTCCCCCACGACACAGGAATATATTCCTAATGCGAGAATGGTCGTTTAAAAAAAAAAAAAAAAACGCATTTTGGTACGAAGTTCCTTATCGCGCGTTACCTGCTTTGAGCGGATGGGAGCGAGACGGAAGAATGTCTAACCGTCCCATCCGGTTAGTCATTTTAGAAAGACATTTTAGAAAAATGTCCAACGAAACTTTTTTTCCGATACTTCAGTTGGCGCGTCGACCCTCACATCTATTCCATGTTTCATATACATAGCAAACGTCTACCAAAAAGCGAAAGGAACTTCGCTTCGACCGGGGGTCCATTCACCTCTCACGCCGTTTTTTATAATTTACTACTGTCATACGCTAAATGTGTTTGAAATAAATAATATATACGTAATCAACCACAGCGAGAATAAGGTATTAATGAAATAGAAGTAGATTCACTTTATGAAAAAGATTCTGTTCTAATACGAAACCTCTTGAGTTACCTATTAATTAATCTGCTAATTAATTTTAATGGCTCTCATTTTTTTCATTTTACAGAATAACTACAGTAGTGAATTAAATAATTTATTCTCAAAAATGGACGAGAGAAGAAGGGTAAGTAATATAAAAAAATCGACTAAAATCTCGATTTTTTTAAATATATAATTAGGTCACAACGACGAAAATGCGTTATTTTAAAACAAATTATAGTAAAAAGTTATCGGTTTACAGAAACGTGATGTGCCTGACTATTTATGTGGGAAAATTAGTTTCGAGATCTTGAACGAGCCGGTGATTACTCCAAGTGGTATCACGTATGAGAAGAAGGATATTGAAGAACATTTGGAGGTACATGTTTCAAACGTATTAATTGCCCTTACCGTCAGAGTTATAGACTGCAATATTTCACAATGATCCGTGACATTGTAACAAACTACACAGATTGGTATTTTTAAAATTGGAATGGCCATTAAAATTCATTTTAATAATAATAAAGTTGTTGTTAAATACTTTACACATTTACATTTTCTTTGTTCTAACCAGCGCGTTGGCCACTTCGACCCCGTGACTCGCGTGAAGTTGACCGCGGACCAGTTGATCCCCAACTTCACGATGAAAGAAGTCATAGATGCTTTTCTGCAGGAGAACGAGTGGGCGCTCGACTATTGAACCGGTAGTTAAAACAAACTTATGCTCATTTCACTATTTATAGGCAAGTACACAATAGATTTGATTTTCCTTCATGTTGACTTATTTAGTTGTACATAATAACTTGAACGATAGAATAGACAGATGAAACTCCCAAAATTTCAAAAACGATAAACTCTCAATTTTCTAACCCTTTTAATAAGTCATCTAATATACCAATTTTGTTTGTTATTTGTAACAGTAGGTACAACTATCGTGTAATAATTTTAAATGATGTTGTCTGCAACGAAAATCGTTTTACATACTCGTATTAAAAGTGTAAAGAATATGAAAGTTCCAAAATTATTTGTGTTTAATGATTGATTTATTGCGATAATTAGTTTTAATATGTATGTACCTACATTTATTTTGCCGTAAAAGACAATCTAAATTTTATTTGTTAAACTGTTAACTTTTAAGGTCCTATTTTGAAAAGAAAACGGAAATTTATAATCTGGTTGTACATATTTCACATAATGCGCCATCAAAAATTATGTTTTACTTACGAAGTATTTGTTTCTTATAAAAATAGACGGATAAGTTAATTTACTTCGTACATAAATGTAAGAAAATAACATAAAAACAAATCTCTCAAGGTAGGAATTGGATGTTAAAATATATAAATTATTCTTATTGACTGCACAGTTGGCACGGTGATTTAAGCCAACTCGCGACTTCCTAATGCGGTTACTGTTGTGGGTTCGACCTCCACAGCGGACAACACTTTGAGACCCACAAATTGTTGTTCCGAGTCTGGGTGTTCTTCGTGTCCGTTTCATGAATTCCCCGAGTGAGTGAATGAGGTCCCCCGAGACACAGAATATATCCCTAGCTCGGGAATATTATTTAAAAAAAATGAACAATTAAAATAGAGTATCGTGTTTCTAATCTAACTAAGAATCAATCTGTGTATAGTCCAAATCTGAATGGGTTAAATCACAGGCTTTAAACTAAACTTTTAGAAGGGTGAATAATACCATTTCTTTTTTATCTTTAATTTTGTTCTTAGCCTTACTTACTTAAATTTTGTTCATTGTTCTTAGCCAAATAAATAATTGTATATTATAATAAATGACAAACATTCATATATTGCTCGCATGTAAGAAAACCTGGAAACAATATTGTTCATTTAGTAAATTTTAGAAAAAACAATAATTGCTTTTGTTTTTCAAACATTTCAAATGTCGAATAAAAAAATAAAATAAAAATACAAATATTATTCATATTACATATGTGATGTAAATATAATGCATGACAATGCGTAGACCAAAATATAAACAAAAAAATTGAAAATTAATTATTTCTTGCCCGATGACGTATTTAATAGTGTTCGTTAGTGTACGTACGTCAATAAGTAATACACAGTAGTTAGGTACAATGTGTCAGTTCACACATTTTCTTAGTCTTAATTGTCGACTGTAATTAAATATTAGGATATATGTATGTATGAACCTAGAATTACTCAACAATTTGCTTTTATTTAACGATTTAAGAATGTATAACTATTATGTATGTAGCTTCATCACATTGTTATGGACGTATTGTTGTTCCGGATTTTTTTTTTGCTGTAAAAATAAGTATTTTTAATAAAAATAAACTTTCTCACATAATTTTCTCTATTTTCTGAAAAGTTTTTGAAACATACTAATCATATTGTTTTTTCCTGATTTCTGTATCTACCTAAATATTTTCAATAGAATTTAAACAACATGTGTGGTCATACCAGAAACACCCCTAAAATGGCAAACAACCTTAAATCCTATAACAGTTGCGTAGATAATGTGGAATTTGTAATTACAGTTTAGGTGAGTATCTAAGGGCGTCTGCTAAGAAAGGTTTTAATGCGTTATTTACGGTATAAATACACATAGCTAGAAAACATTACATCCTAATATTTAAATCTAAAAGATCTGTTTAAATCGCTTATGGTCGGGCAGATCATGGACGGGATGTAACGGCGACGTGACGTGATCGTATGAAATGTACTAGCGCGACGGCGTTGTGTGATATTTTACACTAACTATATTTATTTATGTTCATTCGCGTTAAGATAATAGTGACACATCGATCATGCTTGACCAATCACGTTCCAAGAAATTTTCGTTCCGTACGAAAGCTTGGAACCTGATTGGTCAGGGTTGTGGTATTTGATCGATATGCCACTATTTTCTTAACGCGTATGTTTTATATATTTAATAACTATAGTACATTATAAGTTAACATGGCTCTGCCGATTTTTCATAAATTTCCTCGATTTTTTTTATATATATAAATTAATTCATAAGTACTGGCCTATTTTTTTTCATAATGTATTTCTCAAACAAATGATTTTAATGGATAATGTATGACGGAAAATGTCTTAAGTTAGTTAAAGATGAATAACATATAGTATACATATAGAATCTTCTAAAACTCTAAACCAGTTGAAAATGACGAGAGATTTTATGGAAAAGTTTTAATCTTATTAAGTTTGTTTTCTGACTAATTGACAACTAATGTAACTTATTTTATTAATTTAAGCGTTGACCTGTCTTTGGTGATCTATCAAGTATTTAGCAAGTCGCAGCGCAGAGTTAATTTGGATCCTACTGAATGTGAAGCATTATCGATTCGATTTATATTTATGAAACTTGAAATTCTGTTGGTAATGTAAGCGATCTAACTGCAATATTATTAATAATTTAAGTGAATTATATCTTTGGACCGAGATGAGCCCTAACTTCGATATCTATATTTATATACTTACTGGCTCAAACTACAAATTATATGCCAAGTTTACACTAATCTACCAGTACATGGCCTTTAATTTTATTAAACACTAATTTAGAGCAACCAACTTCGTTCGATTGAGAAATGGACTCATGCACGACACATTTTAAGAAATAAAATGTTTTATTAAAAATATATTATTAAGTAAATAAACTATTAATTAATTAATCTTTTTTTTTACTGATTACGAGGAAAAAGACCTAAATTAATTCTGTCACATTCGTTTTTAAATCATGAGTGACTCATAGTTTTATATCACGAATTATGTGGCGGCAATTGAACGGCATGTACTTACTTACGAATACAACAAACACCATGCAAATTTAGTCAATCACAGATATTGGCGTGTAGTGTTCCAAAAACGCGCTGATAAAAAAGATAGATGCTATCCTATTATCCTAGCATTTTAAGTTCCACCAGGTGGTACAAGAAGATCATAGTCCACGTAATGCAAATATTGTTGCTGAACGCTAATATGGCGCACAATAAAAAAATTAGGGAAATAGATTTAAGAAGGGAAATATCATTTTTAGATTTTCGTTTGAAAGTAGTTAAAAGTTTATTAAGACCGTGTACAATATATATGACGTTTATCCATATTCCTACACGTTGTCTAGATATTGGTAGGTTAATGTAAACTTATACTAAAAATTAATGTTAGGTTTTAACAAAGAATCAAAACTAAGTAGTATGTTATTTGTTAAATTAGTACTTATTATAACATATAATTATATTTAATAATGTTCTTTAAAGTCAAGAAGACGTGAGAAATATGATTTCTTGCCATTTAGCATATAACGGTGTATTGTTTAACTGTTCATGCTGATATCGTCGGTTATAGTAGCTACAGTTAAAAAGTGAAAACAATTTGTTAAAGAGTAAAAACTTGACAACACATTAAATAGCGTTTAGTTTATAACAATTGATACATGCAGAAAATGGAATTGTAACAATGTAATAAACAATAGGCTAGTTGACTCAATTTGAAAACTTGGTTAATTATATACTTTAATATCTATTTTATCTTAAAAAACTATATTTTAAAGAAAAAGCAATATTTACATTACGTATTTTGTATTTAAAAAAACAATTTATATTTCCCTTGAAAACGCTGATTAGTGTCATGGCGTCTTGAATTACATCACAGTCTGCGAAACAACTGCTGTTTACATCTGTTTACAACAACTGTTTACATCTATGTCCAGTGTCAACTGAAACTGTATTAAGGTGAAAAAATATAGAAAACTAAAAACGAAAAACAATAAGAAGTGACCTGCTCTGTTGTATGAAAACGTCAACAACAACAATGATGTTTTGCATGGCGTGACGTAACACTTGGGTTGGTGTTCGCTGTCACGTGACTTAAGGCCTATTTTGTTCGTTTTTTTAAATATTAATAATCTTTAACTTTTGTAAGAAATAGACAGGTTTTTTCTCATCTATGTCTCTTCATTTATCATTTGAAACTATAAACCAAGCAAGTTGTTATTAGTGGACACAAGCTTATTACTATTCCTGTTAATTCCTCGGAGTACTACCAACTAGACAATTACGTAGGCGCATACAATGTAACCCTGCCAACTATTTATAGTATACATTAATATTTAAGCAAGGACGCAAAATTAGGCAAACTTTTATGCCATAAAACTCTAGAAATAAAAATTGATAGGTGACTTGGCATAATTGCCCTGAGCGATACCGCTTTCAGAATACGTTACGGTCGTCGGCTAAATTACTCTTGCAAACAAAGTTTTCACTTTCTTTTTAAATTATTAATTTATTTATATGCACTGTTCTACTATCACTGACGATATGATATAATTTGTTACAATTGTTTGTACAATGTTGTTTAGTTGTGTGTCGATCAGTTCTAATTTTTAAATACTCTAAACCATTTTTAAATGTGACAAATGTCTTATCTTACTTAATAAATAAGAAAAAAAATGTATAAATACAAATAGGCAAACAAAAATATTCAAAAACCTGTGTCTCCTTTATTTGTCAACCGATTTCTATTTGGTTTAGGACCTAGCTATTGATATGCTTTGTGATATATATAAAAAACCGAATTGGAAGTTTATTTTGTACTTAGATAAATGTCTTCATTAAACTGATTTCTTTTTCTTTCTTTTGCTTTAAATACCCACGAGATTTAGTGTTATCAATAATCATATCATATTGTTTTTATAAAAGACATAAGTTCAGTACCATGT